TAGATTAGTCGACAAAAAAATAGTCGTTAGTTGCAGCATTACTATTTACCAGTTGTTTAAAGTTGGATTTCCGAGCTTGAACAGACACAGGTGACATACAACTTTAACTCCATTGAACAGATTAGAAAATGTCAAACTGTGCTGCACTATGAGATAGGGCTGGGCGATATGGCCTGAAATCAATATCACGATAGATTGAGCAGTTCACCTCAATAACAATAAATGGACCACAACTACTCCACAAGCTGCTCACCCACTCCCACATTAACTTCGTCTACTTAACTCCATCAGCTGCCACTTCAGCCACTAGAACTTTTGAACTGTCCTCCATCTCCTCACCTGTCTTTTCCTCTTTGTTACTGACTGGATGGGGTGGAGTCACATCTGTGACATAGGACAGCGTCTCAAAGGGACATGAGACCATAGCCTACCTACACACATCCAAAAACAACTTTAACTTGTTTATTTTTTCGACACCAAATATACCGACATGGGGAAAATGATGGTTATTGTCGTAAATTTTGTTATCTGTAAATTTTCATTTTATCGCCCAGCCCTACTATGAGATGCCATCTTTCCTCTGTGTTTGTTAACATCCAGGTAGTAGAGTGTATAGTAACATGGCAGACACTACCTAACATAGCTACAGTCAATGACAGGCAGCTGTGCTACAACTCAGACAAACCACATGACAGGCATTTTGTGCCAACAATAATAAAAATATCAATAATTAGTTTTACCTGGTGGGACTTAATATGCACACCCCTCGTTCATTTTAATTGAAACTGAAAAATTTGTAGGTAGAGCCCTGATCAGTCAACATCCTGCCAACTCAGGGCCGCCCTCACAGCTCTGATGTGTGTCCGTCCTGCTGTGCTGCAGATGCTGCTCTGTACGATAACACCCAACCAGATCAATGAATCATTTCTTTCTGACTGAAATGCACTTCATCATTTTAAATGTGATTAAGACAGCGGACACAGGAGGGGCTTCAGATCCATGAGCTGGTATCCTCTTGTCTCTCACTTTGCTGCCACACAGACAGTGTCAAGAATTGCAACTGAGAGAAAAAGTTTAATCCTAAAGTCGCATAATGCCTGAAATACATCTAGTCCTGTGTGTGTATATTTCACTGTGGCTTGTTGGTTGTCTAACTTCGATTGTTTTGCATAATACTTCAACAAGATGACTGACTTATCACTAGATTTCCTTCATATAGAGGTATTTTTTTCTGCACGTAAAGAAATCAATCAGCACATCGTTGTTTCAATAACTTTCTAACAAAGTGGTTGGTATGAGAAAAAACTGGTGGAGACCACTTCAATGTCTGCTCTTGACACATTCAGGGAGACTCACTGGATTCTACTTGGGGACACCCTGATGATTCATTGATTTCACCTGTTTTATGGGTATAACCTGATTTCATTATCCATTTTTTTGTTGATGTAACCTGTTTTATGATTGCTTGTTTTGTCTGCTTGCTCAAAAGCTGTCCATTTAGAAGTGTCTCAACTTTGTCCAGCTATTTTTCCTTCTTATCAGGTTTAGCTGAGGTCCAATCTAACACCTGATTGAAGTAACAGGAGGTTATGAAGCTTAACTTTAACAGACCTATGGATTTTGTCATTTCTCAACAGAATTTCCAAAGTTACCTGTAAAGTCTGATAAATGTCTGTACTAATGAGATAACCCAGTGAGATCGGATCAGATCATGTAAAATATGCTGCAGAAAGGTCATTTAAAGTGCTACATTATGATTTATTTAAACTTGTAATGGATGCATAATCAACTCCCTTGATTAAATGTCTCCAATCAGGTGCAATTTCCTCAGATCAGGTGTAATTTTCATGATTGAAAGTAATAATTTGATCGAAGGCTGGATGATTTGCTCAGATATTTTCATTTTCTCCCTTCTGCACACTCTTCCACAGCTCCTGTAACGCCCTGCCCTTCCCACTTGATGCCCCACACATCCCTCCACATGTGACAGACAGGACTTTGTGTGTGTGTGTTTGTGTATGTATGTGGTGAGTCTCTACCTGCCAGGAGCTGGAGGGGATCTCTGCGAATTTACCCAGACCCCCGAAGGTGTAGCAGTGGTACATGTGATCCAAAGACTCCGAGCAGTGCCACAGCAGTCCAAAGCTGACAGAGTCCTTGCTGTTGCCGCTGCTGTGATGATGGTGGTGGTGGTGATGGTGACTGTTCCTCAGCTGGTCCTTAACAATCCAGGCGGGAGAGATGAAGCTGAAGCTGCAGACGGCGACCAGAGCGGAGGAGAGGAGCACCCAGAAGCAGCCCACACAGCTGAACATGGTGGCAGCGTGGGGCGCAAAGCCCGGAGACAGACCCAGATCGATCCCAAACCCGGCTTCTTCTTCTTTCTTCTCCCGGCCCAGGAGTGAATGCATTTGGAGCTCACACCTTCAGGAGAAAGACTTCAACTTCAGACCCTCCACAGTACTACATCCGCAAAAAAACCCAAAGAATATCCGCAGTGTGAATGTGTCCAAAACATCTGGACCGCGCAGAAAAACAGTAAAGCAAAGCGTCCAATTATTATTTGTTTTTAGGAAAGGCAGTGTTTGAGACACACTAAAGTCAAGTCATCCGCGCCCCCACTCAGTCTAGAAAAAAAGAGCCCAAAATCTGACACACACGCGCGCTCATGCAAGTGTTTGTCACACCCAAACCTGTGTGCGCAGTGGTCATAGCCACGCACGGGGAGCAGCAGTTTTCTGATTCACGGACACTAACTCAAACACACAAACATTTCCTGCTGCCGCCTGACTGCTGTGAGCCTCTACAGGCACTTGCTCTGCCTCCACACGGACCACGGCGCACTTTGCGTTTCAAAGGGAGTCAGTCCGGATCACGTGAAGCTCCCGCAGGTTAACAGTAGAACTTCCGGTCGGAGTTTTCAAAGTAAAAAGGGAAGAAGCCAGTGATTAATTGATTAAGACAGTACAACGATTTCCAAAGTTAGTGTTAGTTTAATTATCCTGAAGGCTACTTGGGGTAAGATGAGCCATTTTTCATATTTCGGATCACTACATCGAGGCAATCATAGTTTTGTCTCTAACTAGTGTATCTGCATATGTTTCAAGATGTTGTGCATCCCTGTAAACCAACAGAGTGAGTGTAAACATAACTGTCTTGATAATATAGCATGCCCAAAAAAGTGATCTCCTATGGTCAACTTACCCCGTGTATAGAGTAGGTGGCCATAGGAATCCTACTACCCCCCAGTCTCCAAACATTTCAACAATCTAAACTGAAACGCTGATCCTCTCATTGGACTTCTTTACTTTGTCAGTAGAGCCACTGGCTCAACGTACCCCAGAATGACTATGATGACTTTATTAGTCCTCTAAACTAAAATGGTGGACTTTTATGCTCGTTTTTTGACCTCATATTGTAGCTCATAGATACCACAATTGATGTATAAAACAAATTCAACAATATCTTTTTTTGGTCTGAACACAATTCTTATAAAAACTTATGACAGACTAAATTCACTTTCAAGAGTCAAAAATGTTTTGGGTTTTTTTCAAATAAATGTCTAACCCCTTCACCCATGTGCTTCTAACCTTCACAGACTCCATGAATTGATGCCCATCTCCTAAATATTTGGTCATATGATCAATTTCTTTTACCATTTCCAAGCAACAGGGGGTGCTTGAAACTCAGCTCAACTTACCTCCAACCACTATAATTTCAACATTAAACATTAAAATTAAAAGTAAATTTTGGCCATGAAAATAATGTGCTGGCGGATTAAATAATCTACAGAATCTACATGGTTGTTTAACATCTATTGAAACCTTACTCAAACTTTTTTTTTTTTATTAATGTTGATTTCTTGTTATTTAGTTTTGGTGTAGTTTGAGATATTACATCTTAATGTTCCTATTTCACCTGTTCATGTGATTAATTTCAATTCACAGAGTTTCTCTGTGTGACTTCTCTTTCCACTGTGTGCAAGTTATCCAAAACGCCCCAAAGCTTTTTGGTAGCTAGTGGTAAGAAATCCCTTTAAATAATGAATATGGCTGCTTTATTTTGAAAATAAAAAAACGCCTTTCCGGTATTTTCAACATCTTGTTTTTGTAACTTTATGGAGCGAGCGCACAGGCTCCTTCAAAACACACTTTGTTTTGTGCAGTGTTGTGATTCTTGACACACTAATTGATAAAACTGCATATGACATTTTTCACTCTATTATAACCAATTAACTCCTTCAAAATAATATACCACACGACGTCAATTTAGAAACTGTATTAATTGTCCCACAGAAAGGACTGTGTCATGCAGTTGTTGAGACTTCGTGTCAGCCAATCAGACCTCAGGACAGGGACCACCCGTCTGTGTTGAGGTGGGCGTTGCCTCTGCACGTGCAGGTAACTTTGCTATAGTAGCCCTTACGAGCTCGTGAGGCCGCAGCTAGCTAAACAATGTAAAACCGAACTTACTGACCGGTATAAGAGGCTGTTTTATCAACAAGATGCACGTAATTAAAAAATTTAACGCAATTCAAAACCATTTTTTACGTTTGGGGTGTAGCCTCCTGACAAAGCAGAAATAGTGCAGCACTATGCTACTCACAGAGTAAAATTAAACGAGTTAAATGCTTTATATTGTGCGAGAAGTGACGGTAGAGCCCTATGGTTTGACTTTTTTTTTTCCAAATTGTGAATTTGACCCTTACAAGAGAAGTCAGAGCAGCTATTGATAGAAAAAAGGACACAGGCTTATTCTCATGTCACAAATAATACACTGTCATCAATTTTTATGTCTCATACTAACATGGCAAAACGGTCAACATCGCCCCCAGCTGGTCAGAGGTGATAGTGGTCCACTCAACTCAAAGTCTTTCAGTTTGCCCACATTTGAACTGTATCAATGAGTCAAAATTGATCCAAAGTACATCTGCCTGTAAATACAGGACACCTTTCTCATTTCTGGTAAAATATGTAGAAGAAGAAACGAGAGCAGACAAAAACATTTTATAATATATGTATTTAAATCAAACACATTTTAAATATATTATAGATTAAGTACACATACATGTCAGGAGACATTAGTGGTACATAGTACCAAGAGTCTTTTCTGGTTTTATTTCCACATCTTGGTAAGGCTCAAAACAAATTTAAAAAAAGATTTATTTCACTGAGCACACTTTCCAGTTTAACAGTCAGCTCACCACTGACATTTGTTTCAGTGATGCTTTAAAAAAAAAAACAGCGATCACCATAAAAAAGGACTAACATTAATATATGGGGTAAACCAGAAATCTACATATATATACTGTATATATAGAACATTTACGACATGGAGTCTGGAGTTTTCCAACACAACTGGAGCACTTCTGTTCATAAGGGGAGTATTTCTTCTTCTACGCACCGTAAAGGTGGAGCAAGGAGGTCATAAAGGAGGTCAGCCAGTCAAGGATCTGAAGCAGCTCTTCTTCTGTGTTACTGTCACTTTTCCAGTCATCTGCAGTACACATAACGTTCAAAGTAGGAGAGCACAAATCAGCAAATAGGAGACTGAACTACTCCAGGCAGGCTGAGGGAGCGTTTGCAAAAACTGTACATCTGCGAGGCCTAAAGTGGCTGACCTTCAGAGAGGAACGTATCTAAAATCAAGGAATGGTTCTAAAAAGTGTGGGGAGTTGAGTCATGACAGAGTCATGGTAACTCAGCGTTTGTCACACCCTCCAAAGGTCCAATGTGAGAATCACATCTCAGACTGATGGCTGAAGCGATGCAGGGATTTCCTGACCAGCGTGCTGCTTCCTGTAACATTGAGTTGAATGTGTCCTTCATCAGGAGTGTCTTGCTGCAGTCTGATTCAAGCATCCAGCTCTGCTTTATCATTGCAAACACGAAATAAAGCAAAGCACCAGTACCTTTGTAGTGTTACGGAGGAGGGAGATTGGAAGAATGGTGTACTTCAGCTTTCCCAGGACCCCATGTGTGAACAATCACTCATTTATCTCACAAGCACACCTGTACACGCACACACACAGACAAGCACTTTCACACATGGTGCTTTGGGAGGTGATAAAAAGCCTTGTTCGTTCCACAGTTCATTGCAGGGTGAACCCTGTGAACAGTTTGTCACTGGCTCGGCCAGCGTCTGCAGGGAGGGACGATGCTTTGGTTCCTCTGCAGGGTCATAGCTGAAGAAACACGAAGAGAGAACACATAAGAACAGAACTGATGCCTGTGAGATTGAGCGAGTTTAACATAACCAGGCTATCTTTGCGTTATTTGATGTCTCTAAGCCTAACAATAATCATACATGTGTCTGAATAAAAGAGGTGTTTGCAGCATGTGACAGCAAAGTTAAAAATACAGAACGCTGGCTTCAGAAAACACGGCTGCAGCTGCCAAATGCAAATGGGACAGCTGGGAAATTCAACCTCACCTGAGTTTAAATTAAGTCTCACTACCCTCGCATTAGAGCACTAGTGCATTAGTGGATCTGACTATCATAATTACATCTGTGTTGCATTGCACTAATGTGTTGCTCAGATGTATTCTTGTACGACTATTGCAGCTTTTTTATTTCAGCCTTAGTCTTACACTTGGGAGAAATAACAATAGAAATAATTCAAAAACATTTCAAAAGATCAAGCAAGTATCCTACAAGTTGAACAATAGAAGTCTCAAATGCTTCAAATGGTCTCTTTATGTAAACAGACAAAAAAATAAAGTGAAAACAACCCTTGTATATTAACTTAGCTCCACCTCTCAGTTGTAAATATCGCTCAATCAGGAAGCTCAGCTATGTAAATCTCTTTAAAAGTTGCAAAACAATTAAAGTTAATTCATTTCTTTGTATATTAGAAAGACCAGAGCAGGTTCAGTTGAAGTCTTCTGACTGGACAGACTGCACACACAGCAGCACAGGACCCAGAGCGAGGCTCGGTACCTTGGTGGACTTGGCGGGGCTGTCGTGGTTCGACTGCTGGACGACGTCATTGACGATCATCTTCGCGATCTGCCACGCCATCTCCTCCTGAGCCTTCAGAAGACAGAGCCACAGAACAAACATGAGCTCAAAGCCGCCACCGCTCTCAGAGCAGCTCTTGAATAAATCATACAACATGGACTGATGTCACAGGGTGCATGTGAATACATGTCACTGAGAGGCTTCTGGATGCCTCAGCCCTCTGAATCATTGATGAATATTTTAACATCGTGTGGCCTCACCTCGTCTGAGTTTCCTTGGACCCATTTCTTCATGGCTTGAGAAAACATGGAACCTAAACAAAGAGAAAAGAGAGGGCTGAGTGAGACAAAGAGGCTGGACTACTGAGCACAAATCATCGACTAATCTGAACTAATCATTTGATGCAAACTGCAGACTAATGCATGTTTTACAGGGTGAGTTAATCCTGAAATATGTAAGCATTTAAAAACGTTTTAGACGCAGCTACCAAGACGTGAATAATACTTTACGAGCAGGCAGTTAACAGATTTAAGCTGACAGAAACACTACTTATTATGTAGTAAAAACGGCTGCTACTTTATTCTAATAAAAGAGAAAGCCCTCTTTGACGTGATAAATACAGATTTTGTGTGTTGTTTGATGTAAAGAGTAGTCAAGGCTGTTTTTGTCTCAGGAGGGCAATGTTCTTAAATATTTCAGAAGGCTATGAGCTGAACAAAGCAGAGAGCTGGACCAGCCTGTAGATGAGGTTTATATTCATGGACATCGAGAAGATGTATTTCACCGCAGCAAGGAGGGATGAGATAAAATATGGCAGAGTGAAAGCACAGACTAAAAGGACAGACTGAGATAGAGAGATGGAGGAAAGGTAAAAGAAAGAAGCAACATGCCTTTAGACTTCTTGACGTCCGGCTCCGGCTCGGCCTCCCTGATGAACTGACCCATCTCGTTCACCTTCCCGAACGTCATCCTTCTGAGCGGACAGAGAAAAGGAGGGGTTGAAGACAGCAGACACAGCCAAGTGGGACAAACTGAGCTGCAGGCACACACGCAACAATCAAACACCTCCCTGTGTGTGTCTTTGGATCTATTCAATAACAACATTTTAAACCGCAGGGGGGGAATTTGACAAAGCACAGCTCTGCCTTTCAATAGCTCCATAACACTGAATCATTTGAACAGAGGATTTTTCAAAGCGTGCTTGTGAAAAAGGCTTTACAGAGGGAGTCAATAAAAACAGAAGAGATGCGAGCATTAAAACCTTACGGCAGCAAATCAAAGCAAGAAAAAAAGGACATGAGTATAAAAGTGAAAACATCATGGAGACTAAAAGATGAATTGGATCACAGAAATTGATTTATTGAGACCATCAAAAACACAAATTCAGCAGTTTTAACGCCAGAGGAAGATAATTCAATAAAACATATCTGTCTTCTGCTTTTGTCAGGCAGACGTTTCTCTTGTTTTGCTCTATGTTGAACATCAATCAACACCAATTAAATCTACGGGATGATTTTAGCTTAATAACCAATTACATGAGCATCTCACACGAGAAATGAAAAATGAAGTGCAATACTCCCTATAAACAATAGAGGGTGCTGTAACCTCTTCATGTCTTCTATCGAGTCTTTTAAATGTAAACTAGAGACCTGTTCAAGCTGGCTTTTATGTAAAGCAGTGGCGGCTGCTGGTCTTTCAAGGAGGGGAAGCTCATTTCTCCCCCGGCCTGCATCGTAAATGTGTTTGTTTATTTATATGTAAATTCTACTCTCAGTTCCTTTTCAAGAAAATGATCTGTGACCCTGTCGAGACAGAGGAGAGTCGCCAAACACAACAAATCCAAAGTCTCTGGGGATCGGTAAAGTCTCTGGATCAGTTCAGAACAAGGGAATGAAAAACTTGGAAAATGCTCCGGTGGATGTCGATACTTTTTTTTACATTTTAGGGGAAGCTGAGCTTCTCCTGCAGTCTTAGAGCAATCGCCACTGATTTGGAGACTTGAGTAGTTTTGTTATTTGATGCTTTAAACAGACTTGAATGTTGTTTTGTCGGTTTATCTTCAATTATTGTCATTCTATCATTTTTTTTACACCTTTTGCTTTGATTTATAATTAACTACTTATCTTGATTTTAAACTGTTCATATTTGATCATTTTTTTCAAAGTTTTCACTTATTTTTACCTCTAATTTTGCTGTTTTAATTACATATATTTTATGATGTGTTAATCTCTAACTCTTCCGCTTTTTTGTATATGAATGTTTCCTGGCATTTTCTGTCATTTCTGTACTGTTATGGTTTTAATCAATTCAAAATCACTTGTATGAAAAGTTCAATAAAAATAAATCTGTAACAAAATAAAGGTGCATAGACATGATGGCAGCGGATAAGATTTTCAGTTGAAGATGCACTGCGAGTGTTTCTTGGAAAGAAACAAGACATAGGAGGCTCATTGCAGAAATCTGGTGATATTTTTTAAATCAAATATGGCCGTCAGCTATCACTAAACCAGTAAACAATCCCTTTCTTCCTCTTTTTTCTTGTGTGCCTGTTGTAAATAGTGTCTCAAAGACAGCAATGGAGATGTAACAGGCAACATAGTGACAACGTAAATGCTTATGTCTCTCTTGGAGGTGCTTAAACACTTGAAAATCTATTAATATTGATCGTTCTTTTACCTGGTTTAATTTACTTCCACAACGCTATAAACTAGTGGAGGTACCCTGAATGTTCTCCTATAATAAAAGCATGTTTCTTTCATCAAATGAGGAAATAGAGAAACTTATGCATAAGGCAGTAAAATGGGAAAAGAAGTGAAACAGAAAATAAATTTAGACTATCACTTCTGCAAAGCTTGTGCACACAGAGTAGCTTACATTCTTAGAATTGAGTGAAAACTGTGAACACTGCATCATGAACTGTATCATGAGTGAAGTGTACTCACCCAGCATACGGCCGTTGGTACAAAGACTCAGGGTCCAGACTGGCCACATCCACCGTGATTGCCTCATCAAAGTTTTTCAGGATCTTGATCGCCGCTTTTTTTGTCCCTTGCTGAAGTGAAGAAGGCATGAAATCAATGTCGGGTACAAAACTTTCTTCTTTTTCTAAACAACAGGGATGATCACAACCCTGTGACATTAAGAGAGGTGGAGCAGCTCTAAATGTCAGCAGACAGAGAAACATGCCCACCGGGCTGAAATTAAGGGTCAAAGTTTAGAGGAGGGGGGTCACCTGAGTCTGAGAGCCCTCGCTGGCATTTGAACTTGACCGGTCATTGTCCGCCTGCCCGCCCTGACCCGAAGTGCTGACATTCACAAACTCGTCTGCCCGCACGGAGTTGATGAGGTCACTCAAGTATTTGTAGTAAAGGTTGCTAGACAGGAAGCCTGGCATGTAGACCTGAACCAGCACAAAGAAGCAGAGTACTCCGTTAGACAATGATGAGCTCTGTCATGTTTGTCTGAACACAAGTTACTGAGACAATCATGCTACCAAGAGTGTTCAGCTTTTATCTCATGAACTCACATAAGCAGCATTTATAAGCGAGACTTCATGAGACACTTGAATTACATACAGAACTTAAACTTTAGGACTATCCAAGAAGAAAAGACACATCTCCCTCAATATGATTTGAGTATTTATATTTCTAACATTGATTTATTTCCTTTTTATTATAACAGGCATAAATGACTCCCACATGAAAATACGGAGCCCTTTGTGTTCAGCTCCTCTTGAGTCTGACCTTCTCCATGGTGGTCCAGGCCTGTCTGAGAGGAGTGGTGAAACAGTCGGGGAGCGGCCCTCCCTCTCGGCAGATATTGGACTCTATCTCCATCCGTACAGAGTCGCCGAAGCCCAGAGGGTTTGTGGCCTGGAGTGAGAAATACCTGGAGAGGAAACAGAGATAAAAAGGAATCAGTTCAGATGTGCCAAATATAAAGATTTTAAAGCAGCACCCAAAGCCTGTAAAACGGTAATAAAACACACATTTATAAAGGAAACTAAAAGAACTTGATTAAAGGAATTGTGTCTTATACTTAGAGTGTTACTGCCATCCTGCATAAAGAGCAGAGCAGAGCAGGAGCTGCTGATTTTTAGAGAAAAACTTTTAGAGAAAAAGAGTCATGACTATGTGCACCAAAAGGCATTTATGAACTATTAAATATGAATGAACAGAAAGAGGTTAAAACAGCCCGATACATGCATCAGCGATGACTGAAAATTGAAAACTAGAGCAAGAAGAAACAGTGCAGCTTCACAAACAGCTTTCACTCAGTAATGAGAACTCGTTCTTTCACATAATACCATCTTCAAAGCAGGGATACGCTGAGCTGTTCGTTGAACCTCAGTTTGGGAAAATGACAGTCGGATGACAGACATCAGGAAATAATATGGCGTGCACTGATGTCAGAAGCTGATTTTTACTGTATCTTTGTCTTTGATGCATTACTCTTATTAGGGCTGGGCGATACACCAAAAATTTACCAATACCGAAATTATAACCAACTTCATTTTATCCATATAAGTATATTCTGTGTCAAAAAAATAAATAAATAAAAGTTAGTTTTGGATGTGTGTAGGTAGGCTATGGTCTCATGTCCCTTTAAGACGTTGTCCTATGTCAGAGACGTGACTCCACCCCATCCAGTCCGTAACAAAGAGGGAAAGACAGGTGAGGAGATGGAGGACGGTTCAAAAATTGTAGCAGCTGGAGTGGAGGATGAAGTAGACGAAGTTAATGTGGGAGTGGGTGAGCAGCTTGTGAAGTAGTTACCGTCCATTTATCATTATCGAGGTGAACTGCTCAATACATTGTGATATTGATTTGAGGCCATATCGCCCAGCCCTAATTTCTATGTTGGATAGCCAGTACACTTTTGGGCCAAAGACGTCATTTGATTTGTTTTCATGGTCAGATGAGAAAGAAGATGTTGGCTGTGTGGGAATATTACACAGACATGCAGTTTGTAAGACATTTTGAGATGGACTAAGAGGAACTACTTGCAACAGTTTGAATAAATCAAATCTCCCAGCTGTATTAAAAACAAACTCAATGAATTACAAACATTTAATGAAAAAAAAACTGCTGTTGGCTAGAGAGTTATTTTTCATAATCAGTGGATCTCTACTGCAGTGGTCACAGGGTCAGCCATCACAACCCTTTCAAAACACAAAGGAAAACAGGCTGTTTAAAATAGGACAGCTCTATGGCTGCAGGACACAGTTTCTAACAGAGAGGACTGGAAATGTATTTCCAATTAATTTAAAGATTTAACTGACCTTCAGCGTGAATATACAAGGACATTTTCATACAACACTGTAAACAAGCCTCTGCATTCAGTATAAACATCTACGGGAGGAAACCTGTTCCATTTAAAGACCCGACTGCAACAACACCTGCGCTCCTTATCGTTAATTACAAGGAGATCTGCTCAAACTTCACACAACATGAATAAACACAAACAAGCTGTCACAGCAGAAAGTTCAGCGAGTTCAACGCTGATTTTCCTCCTGAGCAACAAAAGAGAAGGAGTTGTTGACAAGCGCCATCCTGAGACTAATGAGTGAGAAAATTATTTTGATATGTGGTGACATTTGCAGAAAAATCAATGTATACTGATGGGAAAATGGCACACTTTAGGTCAAACTAAAGTTAAATTAGCAGCAGGAATAATAACAACACAGCTGAGAGTTTATAATCATGGGAGCTAATTAACCATCTCTGGGCTCTTGTTCTCAAATCAGACCATAGAGGGGACAGCAGATATTTCAATTCAACATCACAAAGTCAATTTATGTTATTTTAAGCCGCCAGCTACAGTGGGAATGAGTTCAAAAGCCACAGTAAGTATCCCTTCAGGACTTAGATAATTACAAACTGTGTTTTAATCAGTCATCATTTTTTACTGAAAGTCTATCAAATAATGAAAGCAGTTGGACTGATCTTAGAAAATATCACCTCTTCGTGATTGTTTACCTCAACTCCAAATGGATCGAAAGATCTGCTCTGAGTATGAAACATCAGATTGACCTCTGGGGACAAACAGAGGTCACCCGTACTCAACAAGACAAAATGGCCATCTTCAGTTACCTTCATGTCGAACTTCTAGTCATCAGTCTAGCATCACTTTTAGAGGTCCGAAACTGTGGAATAATCTGGATGCATCTCTAAAATCAATATCATCCCTCAACTCCTTTAAAATATCATTAAAATCTCAACTAATCATGTCTTAAATACATCATTATTTGTTATGATCATGTTTCTTTCCTTTTTATGAATACTTTATTGTCTTTATCACTGTTTGATAAATAGTCTGTGTTCCATTTATGGCAATTTGTATCTGTTTGACCTTTCCCTAATCATTTTACATGTGTAACCTGTCTATGTTCTGATTACTTAGTTGTCTGCACCTTTTGCTTTCTCTGCCCTGACAGGAGTGCAACTTTGTATAAGCATATCGGCTTCGTTCCCTCCTTGCACTGTTTTTAATCTGTGCTAAATAAATAAATACAAATACAAATACAAACACACGCTCAACTAAAACCAGCAGGGTGCATGAGGAGAACAAGGAGGCTGAAACACTTACTTGTCGTAAAGGATCATGGCGTCATTTTGAGCCTCCTGGCCGTCATACTGGCCTTTTTTAGCTGCTAGCTGATTCTGGAAGTTGTCTGCCGCCAGCCAGAACTGCAGTACATTCATGGCCTCCTCCTTTTCCATGTACTGCAGAAGAGGAGACACAGAGCACAGTTAAGATTAATTGAAAGCTGCTGTTTGTTTTCTGATATTTAGTTAGAGTTAATATTCAGAATTATGTATGCCGTTACCTCCTGTGGCTTTTCCACAGCATTAAAGGTTCAACTAACCAGTGCCAAAGTTAGATGGTTACTTTTCTGAGACATTCTGTATCATGATGACAAACTGTTATCCTGCCTTTATGTTTTTTGGCCCAAAAATGGGTTTGGAAAACTATTCACATTGTTATTTTTAACTTGATTGTTGTACAGTTGGTCATCCATTTTTTGTTGTAGTTTTTTAAGGATATATGACATCCTTTGCTTCATCATTCTGTATGTATGCTGAGGGATTTATCCTGAAGAATTTCTGTTGAGCCTTTTGATAGAATTTGCAGGTTTTGCACCAGGTGATCAGAGGCACAACAATTCGTTGTTGTAGTTGACAAAGATTGATGACAAAACTAGATGCAGACAAATTTAATAGTACATAATTAGTCTGTGATTTCATTGTGAGTGTTTTCATGCAGAGACATAACACTGTATCCAGGAGCTGAACTGAGTAGGAGTGACACATGTCGTATCCTTTCTGTGCCTGCTGAGTGTGAAACAAGCAAAACAGCAACTGAGGAAGCCACAGGAAAAGAAAACAGTGAAAAGTAGCTCAGGATGCAACAGCATCAGGGCATCAACTTAAAAATGTAACAGCTGTCGTTTAAAGAGAAGGCGTCTCAAAAGTTTCTCTTTTAAAACATCAACTTTGATATTAAAGGTCCAAAGTTAAAGCCACTCTGTGAGTTTTATATTTCAGTACCTCACTTTTCCTCTTAAACACCCAACCTTTTCCTCCTGTCCTAACACTACACAACGGAGCAAACTCTTTCCAAGTTACTATAGTAACCACACTCTGCAATGACACTAAATCCTTCAAACTGCATGTATTACAATTTCTAATGGCATGTTTTGAAATTAAAAGACTAAGGTTACACCTCCAGGACCAGGATACAACAGAAGAAAAACAAGGACACTGATTATTTTTGTTTTGCTTTTTTTCAACAAAAACACAAAAAATGCATTTTAGTCAAGGTCATGACAACATCTTTGCCTAAGCTTATAATCCACTCTCCCTGTGCTTTAGTGACCGGATTGATTTGGGGTTCGATTTTTCGTTAACTGACTCAAACAAATCAACAAAAAATGTAAACTTTTTATGAAGACTTATTAATTTGCTCTGTCCATTTACATAGAGATGAAATGTTATTCTGATGTGACGTACCTGTGCAACTGCAAATAAACAAGAGGAAAGGCAATAGTACAAAAACAATGACCCTAACACATTCTGGTGTCTTCTTCTATCCTTATCTTGGGTAGGTACATTTTGTGTTTACTTTGTTTCTATCACTGTTGTAAAAACTTAAAACAAACTTGTAAAGGACTCTGCAAAAATAACAATAGATGAGTGGTTTGAAACCACTCATGTAAAGATGTGTTTTTCACGGTACAGCTCTGATAAAATCACCACCACTGAGCTCACTCACCTCAGAGAAGTAGAAGAGAGCCGACTCACAGAACAAGATGTCAGCCAGGAACACGGAGCCACTCGTCAACACTTCAATCTGGTATTTACAGAAATGATGGCTCCGCAGGAATTCAGTAAAGTGCCTGAAACCAAAGAGCGAGTGGGACATCAACACAGCTGCTGCTACTGAGGATGCCGAGGTGCCAGATGTCAAAGGACGCTGGCTACACTGCCGGCGCAGAGATAAAGCATGGCATCGCTTTCAGTTTTGAGTATTAACTCCTTTGGAGAATTGATAGCTGGACACTCACTGTTGCTCTAAGATGCTGCAAACCACCGACTGTGCAAAGACAAAACAGTTTGGGTCCACCATGCCGTCCTCTCCACAGATCTTAGCTGCACAGGGGAGAGACAGGAACCTCTCAGCACTCAAAATCAGATTTTGTAACTGAAACTACAGTAATTGATAGCATGGAGTTTGATTTGGAAAAAGCATCTGTAACATACCGACAATGTCATTCCTGTTCTGCTCTGTGATTGGGATCGGCCTCACGGCATCTGGAGAGATGTACCTGGTAAAGATTGTGACTGCATCTGTCTCTATACCTGGAGAACACAGAAAGAGAGCTGGGTTATCAAGTGACGTAGCAAAACACAGAGGAATGACTCACCTTAATTGTCACGTGAAAGATTTTTCAAAACAGAGACAAAAAAAAGTGAGGCCAAAACATGCAGCGCTCCCCCGAATGGCTCCATGTAGACAGATGAAGCATGATTTTAACTTTGAACAAACTTTTCAGAAACATGAGTTCTGTTGTGAAATCTTGTTAGCATGTTAACTCATATACATATATCCTTTTTCTGAATCATCCAGTTATAGTTAGTTATGCTGATGCTGCTGTGTGATGCACCATCCTGTGACATATTTGGTTTTAATAGTGTGAAATAAATATTTGGTTAGCGCAGTGGTTCTCAAATCCAGTCCTCGAGCCCCCCCATCCTGCATGTTTTGGATGTTTCCCTGCTCCATCACACCTGATTCAAATGATCAGCTCGTTAGTAAGCCATCTCAGAGTTTGATAACGAGCTGATCATTTGAATCAGGTGTGTTGGAGCAGGGAAACATCCAAAACATGCAGGACGGGGGGGCTCGAGGACTGGACTTGAGAACCACTGGGTTAGCGGAAGGGGCGAGACATCACACAGCAGCTACACTAGTTTGTAGTGGTGACAGTTATCTGAACCTTAAGCCTCAATCGCAGATAAAAGGAGGATAACGTTCAGTAGATGATGAGAAAAGACATCTCTTTGAGCATCTTGACAAATCCAAAGGGTGAATATGTCTGAGTTACTGTCCTTTTCAAGCTAATTTCCTCTTTGTGTAACTTCTGCAAATTAACGAGACCAAACTGTCTATTGCAACATGAAGAGCAACCTGATTTGTCTCAGTCAGACTCTCAAACCCTTGTTTAAAAGAAGGAAGAAAAGAGGCCACCATGCATCCCTATCATTCACAGTGAAATATGAAGAAAAATGTCTCTGCAGCCAGAATCAAAAGAAAAACAAGTACAGCAGCTGATAAAACCTGTCACCTTACATGTGGCGATGTCTGTATTGTTTGACCAGATACGATAAAAATGTAAATCTTGTCCTTGAAGCAGCAAAAGACTACTGTGAATCAATGCTGCGCTACAACAGAGAGACAGCAGCATCAGGCAGGGAGGCACTGTGTCACCTTTTTTTACACCAAATCAGTTCAAGTCACTTCTGATTCATGTTAACAGGGCACAGAAATCTAGGAACAGAAAGTTAGGAGAAAAATAAAACCTCTGCTTTGCATCAAAAAGGAATTTGTTCTCACCATCCAGCAACCATTTTTGACAAGAATGAAAAGCACATTTAAGACTCATTTACAGCAAAGCAGGAAAAAGATAAAGTACTAATTGAAGACTGAAAATAAAGGGGGGTGGAGTCTAATGGGACAGTATGAGGCACTTCAACTGTAATTCTCCATCTGAATCCATGAAAACAGCACAGAGGAAGATGCTACAGAGAGATACACTGAGGAAGCAATTTAAACAAGGAGGGTGGACACATAATATCTGCATACAACACTACTCAAATAGTCAAAAATAAAAACAGCCCTGAAGCCATAAAAGTATAAAGACACTGACTCTTTACTCGCTGTAACTGTTCGTATGAGTTTAACAGCTAAAGTGCGGCCAATTCTACACTCAGCTAAGACAACAAACACATTAAAGACAAAGGGACGTTCACTCACTCTTCATTAGTTTGTCTGAGAGGGCTCTCAGAGTGCTGTTTGCCTGCCCCTTGATGGGAGTTCCCGTCCTGGAGGGGGCCTGTCTGTTGGGGGTTCCTGCTAGAGGGGTACCGGGTCTGAGGCCTGCCTCTGTGCTGAAGGAGTCTGTCTGGACTGTGTAGCGTTCACTGCTACTGTCCCGGGACAGGGAGTTAGGTGTGTTTTCGTTAAGTTCCGGGAACTCGGAGCCGTCCGCTGAGGCGGGGACGGGCTCCGCTAACGTGCTGTGTTTGACAGAGTTCAGGCTGTGCGCTCGGACCCGAGACCAGCTAGTGGAGCGGAAACTCTCCGCCTCCAGCCAGAACCTGACCAGGTGGTCGGCTCCCTGTAGTTCCATGAAATGCATGTAGTGGGGTATCGCCACATTGTCTCTTAGGACATGGTCCACTGTTTTAGACAGCCGAGAGCGGGTCTCCTGAGGATGATAGTTCACACTGGAATGACCTGGAACACACAAAAGCAATCAGGTTATTCACATAGACGGAGACACTATGGGATCAAAACAGTTAAGTCATGCTGTCATATTAGTCTGTTAATCTGTGATTTGCACAAATATACCTGTAGCAGCTTTTGTGCCAGGATGGAAACTTTCTGATGACACAGATAATACAGAAAAAAACGTTTGGAAACATGCAATGACTCCATGTGGTTGTCACAGTATTCTTGCACAGTCTGCAGCACATTTTGCAGAGCAGATGTAGGTCTATCTGCACTGACAATTTTTGGGGAACTCTTAGCGCTGTCCAGGATGACAGTTCTTGAGAAACAGGGTGAAGTTAGTTGGTAGTGTTGAGGAAGAGTTGTTTTGCTCTCCTCCCATCATTGGGTGCCCCACAAGAATTTCAAACAGCTGTTTTGCTGTCTGTTTCTGACACTTCCAAACATTTCCTCAGAGCTGATATGATATGCTGACGCTCATTGTTGGTTGGCTGATAATTCTGTACATCCCTGATTCAAAAATGAGAACAAATCATTTTACTTGTCGGGTTTAGGATTAACACAAGCTTCGAAAACAACAGTAAGATTCAAGACACAAGTTTTGTAGTTCACCTTACAGAACTGTTTCTAAACTTTGAAACTAGTGGGAAGGGGTGTTGATAGCCTAGTGGTTTAAACGCCCTATGTATAGAGGATGTAGTTCTCGTTGCAACGGGCACTGGTTCAATTCCCAGCCTCAGCCCTTTGCATCATGTCTCCCCCCAACTCTCTGCTCCCCACATTCTCTGCCTCTCTTCAATTGTCCAATCTAAGAAAAGCAAAAATGGCCTAAAACATAAAACATGTGGTGGCTGCTGCGTCATAAAGTCAGAGATAAGGAAAGGATTTCTGAGGTGGTGGTTTAGTTCACAGGTCAGAGCACGTACCCCAATCACACAGGCTTCAGACCTGAAACCACAAGCCAGACTGTTGATGATATACAGGCCTTGACCCTTGTGTTCTCCCAAACACTTCCTTTTCATGGACTCCTACGAAACAAAGGCAAAAGTTTGTCCCTCAAAATAAAGAAATGGCTCAAAAAATATTCATAAGAATCTACTCTGTCCGTGTTCATCTCTTATTTAAGGAGAAAAATCTCCGTCTAGACTGAAAGCTGCATCGTGGGCTGAATTTTAACTCCTGGATATTTGTTTTGAAGTCTTGTGAATTTTCAGCTGGCTGTGAGGCTGCGGCCCCAGACGATGCAGTTTCACAGATGATTAAACTCGGACAAACTTTTCAGACACAAACATCTACAGCGGCTGCGTGTCCTGTCCACCGTGTCATTCATGCGTGAATGAAGTGGTCAGCAGTAACAGCCAGAGCCACCTCTGACTGTCCCCAAACTCCACCTTCATCTGAACACTGAAAAAAAAAACATCTGACTCATACAGAGGTGGCAGATATAATTATATGACTTCACAACGTCTCTGATGACAACTGTTGGAGCAACATCCACCATCCTGAGGGACTCCAAACACACACACTCAACGAAAACAAATAAACAAATGAGCTTATGAGCTGTGATAATGAATCAGAGCACATCAGCTGGAGTGAGTCTGAGCGTGGGCTGAGGCGTCATGCTGTTATGTTTGTCTTTTAAAAACAAAGTCATGCTTTAAAAGTCGTCACTGAGTGTGCAGAGATAAACAATCCACATCCGGATTTCTGACGATCACACAGTCATGAATGAACGAGACTAAAAGCCGATCAAATCAAGCAGCAAGTGTAGCATCAGGTGATCAAAAGGCCCTCATCTCATTAGTGTGTCTTTTCAGAGCACACCACACACACACATCTGCTTCTTTAAACCATCAAAAGGGAGCAGGGAAATAACCGGATCATTTTCAACTTGTTCACTATACCTGCCAGTCAACTCTGACCTGTAGAGATAAGTTCACCTATCAGTCCCAAACTGTCAAAGCTGTCTACAAACTCCTCCCTGACTTCCTGCCTTTATTTCTTTTTTCTTCTCACCTACACTTGAGCTGAGCTTGTCTGGTGAGTCTGGTTCAGACGTTATTGTCCGAGCTGCTGCACAGGTTCCTCCGCCTTTGTCTGACTCACCTCAACTATTCACTGCAAAGCTGTCTTCTGAAATTCCTGTCACTGCTGTCATCGACGTGTGCCATGCGGTTAGCTGTTCGCACCGCCCCGTATCATGGCATTTGTGGAACGCACACACAGGGCCTAATTTTAGCACTTTTGATAAAAAGCAGGGGATGTCTCATCACAGTGTGAGAGGATGAGCGTCACAGACAAAAAGACAGGTGTCAGGTGTTTGTGAAAACTGAAGCGTGAAGTCCTGTGAGTCCTCTCCAGGACAGGATAAATGAAGGTGTGTGCTGTTTTTAAATCATGTTAGTGATGCAAGAGGCATCCTCAGGCGGCACATCCCTCTGTGAGACTTGACTACGGCCAAAGGGTTAAACAGGGACACAGAGGGAAGAAAAACTAAATTAACGACATTATCATTTCCCTCTTTCTGCGTTTGTTCATTGAAAGTTTTCTTTATTCGCTATTTCGTGCTTTTATTTTTGGCGGATAATGCAGCGTGCTGCGATTAAGCTGTTAAATCAAAAGCCTCAGAGTTTACAGTGGCGGGTATTTTCCATCTTTTAGCCGGGTTCTTGTGCAAATGTCAAGCAAATTAAGATTTCATCCAGCAGGAAAGAGTGCCAAATATAAATAAAGATACTGGTCCAAATATAGGACAGGTTCTTTTCTAAATTAGGGCTGCTGTAATCAACCAAAGAAGTTCTTGGTTGACTAAAACACTGAAATTTTCGACTAAAAATCGACTAATGGGTGGGACACGTTGACACGGCAAAAATCAAGTCCACCAATCAGAATTCTGGTCGACCTTAGCACACATTGGCCAGTAAGTCGACCAGTCGACTAGGACTTTACAGCCCTAATTGAAATAAATGCAAAAAAAAAAGTAGGATTGTCTTAAACAAGCCAAGATAAATTCACAACAGTGCTGTGAAGTGTCCACTTTTTTTTACCATCACCCAAACACAACACATTTAGGCCATAGTGCTCTCCACTGGACAGGTGCTGATGAACGCAGCAGCACAGAGGAATCAGTGGACCTGGATGCTGTTAGGCTATCAAGTTTCCTCAACAAACGCAGAGGGAAAGGAAACAAAGCCATACTTCGACTTCTGTCCGAGGAAGATGATGAAAAAGAAGATGACTCCTGAACTGAGGTCAACCAGAGCACAATACACTCAGATGAATCCACAGCGCACAAGCACAGGTTCTCCTTCTTCTATTACCTCTTCTTCTTACTCATCATCATCACTCAGCATTACAGTTTTATTACAGGTTGATCAGAACCAAGTCTAAAGCAATTTACTCGATGCCAGGAGGAACAAGAATAACTCTGCTGCATGTGCTGGCTTTACAGGTACTAGAAATAAACATTGAAACAACAATAAAAACACATTTGTTACAATAGTGTATGACATATGCATTAAAACCACAAACATTGTCTGTCTCAATAAATCTGGCATGGCTTTTTCTAGAGCTGCAGTAAGTCTATTAATTCCTAAAAAAACTTCAGTGGGGAGTTTTGATTGCTGATAAAAAGGACAAAACTGATGCCAACGACTTTTAATACCGTGAAAAGCAAACAAGACCATAATCCACAAAAGTGAATGATGATATATAAATTGATTTTAAAGGTCTGCTGCTGACAAGCGTTAAGTTTTGGACAAAGTCTTTTGAGTGTGCACTTCCCCAACTGATCATTTAAATTTGGAAAAAAAGCAGGACCACATTTCGAAAATTAGTGATGCGTACACATTTACAGGAAAAAAAACTCAAAAAACTGTGAATCAAAGAAAACCAAAAGTCGCTCTTTTTTAGCGTTTATCAGGAACTATCTTATTGCTTAACCACTTCACAATTATAAGCACAGATGATATTTACTCGTACACGTTATCTCGTGCAAACCAGTTATTATCTTCAGCACACAAGGTGATCATTTGTTCCTACAAGTTAAGTACTATTTTGTCACATGTGTTATGAGGAACAAGTCATTATCTTGTGGGCACTATATGGTTATTTTGTGCGCACAAGATAATAGCATGTGAAAGAGAAAGTCTTTTTGAACCTGAGGACACTGTGATGAACTTAACATACTTTTTTCTGCAGTTATAGGACAAATATGGCGATATGGCCTCAAATCAACATCACAATATATTGAGCAGTACACCTTGATAATGATAAATTGACGATTACTACTCCACAAGCTGCTCACCCCCTCTTACATTAACTTCGTCTACTTCAGCCGCTACAACTTTTGAACCGTCCTCCATCTCCTCACCTGTCTTTCCCTCTTTGTTACAGACTGGATGGGGTGGAGTCACGTCTCTGACATAGGACAGCGTCTTAAAGGGACATGAGACCACAGCCTACCTACACACATCCAAAAACGAATCTACCGATATGGGCAAAATGATGTCGGTTATTGTCGTAAATTTCAGTATCGGTAAATTTTCAGTTTATTACCCAGCCCTAGGCATCGGTCTCAGTTTGTATCAAAAACATGAAAAGCACTCGAACGTGATTTGCAGGCTTCTTACCGAGATCTCCAAAGTGTGCAGCCTCCATGTGACTTGGCTGTTTCTTGAGGATGGCGGTGCGACCGCGGGCGAAGGAGTCCATATTGGCGGAGATGGCGTTGATGGCCACATGGCTGGGCCCGGCAGCTTCCTGGATTGCATGATGATTCCTCAGGGCGAGCGATGGAGAGTTAGGACTGGCCGGGGCTGCAGAGGAATGGAAGTGGACAGAAAATGGGTATTATGCAATGAAAAAGGAGTACAATGATAAAAAGGATCTGAGCGAGCTGCGAGTATGACATCAGCGTGACTTGTCTGAAAAGGTCTTTATCATACGGGTTTTTGAAAGAGCTCACAGTCTGTGTACAGAGGCCTTGGGGGATGTGAGATATTTGAGCAGACAGACTGCTCTGTGTTTGACTGTGAGCTGAATGTGTTTGAGTAATTAGCCTGAGGTCAAAATGTTGGTTTTAGAGATATTACCAGCCTGATTGGACTAAAGAGAACCAAATTATTGTAAAAAAAAGGCATACACTCAGGTCAATCTCAGCTTTAAGAGTACGTATTGAACTTACCTCTGTTGACTTTAGCATCGGTCACTCTCTCAGGTTCTTTGCTTTTGGCTGCAGGGAGGAAAATGAGAGAGGGAAGGTAACTAGAGGAGCATACAGCAGCTTAAATCACAAAAAGAGAACAGGAGCAGCGTGCAGAACAATCATAAACACTGACAAGTGAGGCAAAGAAACTATGTGTGTTGTGTCACTAGAAAGAGTAGAGCTCTCTCTAGTTACACAATGACATACTTAAGTGAGGTGAGGTTATCTGTATACTAGAAAAGCAACTGTGGGTCATAACGGTATGCAAACAAATCATTTACAGCAGGCTTCTTCATGCTGCTGCTCATAGAAGAGGAAATTAAAAGGGAAGCTGTGTGTTGATATGTGAAAGCCTCCTCAGTCCTGCCTGATATGTTGTAAAGAGGACTGAGGCGGCTTTCATGCTGGGCCAGTTCCTCTTATACTGGTCACATAGTGCTCTCTTAACCTTGGTGGGTTCCTGCAACTTTAAGGAAAAAAACTGCAAAAGATATACAGCCTGAAGTGAAAGGAGGGCGCACAGTAGTAGCGAAGTGACTCAACACTCATCATCTTTGGATTGAACGGTCAGGATCAGTATTCTGATGGACAATGCGACCGGTCAAAACAGCAAAGAAGATGACTTTTGAGGGAGACATTGTGGGAAGAGCTGTCACCCGACGCACCTATCCGCCAAGAGTCAACATCAACTGGCACTGATGCTGTGTCTGTCGGGGAAAAAAGCAGTGGCTGTCAAAAAATAGCCTCCGAGCGTTGGTTTAAGGTTTATCTGATCTTGATGAGCCGTTTCAACTAACTCTGCTTGTAAAATCAACGGTGTCCCACAGTGGACGAAAAAGACGATGTGTGGAGGACACAAACCAGTTCTGTGGGATGAAACAGCAGCTTTAACCTGAAATAACATCAGAGACACACCAATGTAAGGCTGAGTGTCAGAATCAGCTGTTGATGGTCCCGTTTGTCTCCTGCCAAAGATGGCACTCAACGACTGGAGTAGCCAGTATGACTCTGTTGCATTACGTCAATTTAACTGCCGCAAAGGTCTTTAATTTATAGCAGATGTGCGTGTTTTGTGGTAAAAGTTAAAGACAGGCCTTTAAACACAAGCTGTTTGTTCTCTAATTAAAAGGATAAGTACTCAGTGAGCAAAGCCAGCCTGTCACACCCTCTAATATTGGAGCTGATAAGGTGTGAAGCTTATCATAAGACCACAAATGTCCTCCACGACCCAAACATGGCAGTAGAAGGGGACAGCTATCACCAGGATTATCAAGGGGGAATCTTCCTTCACCAGTGTTTTGTCAAGTCATCCTCACAGCCCCTCAGGGAAGCCCAAACGGTTAGCTCTGGCATCCCAGAACCACCCTCTTCAGTGCCGGCTGTCACACCCATTAAACCCACGATCAAAAACCAATAAAAGAAAAAACAGAGAGAGGAATCCGTACAGAGGTACATGAAAGGTGTTGTATTTCACTACTTATGTACCTTACTTGCCTACCTTAGTGAATTATTTATTACTTTTCAAAAAGAGCTTTCTTGTTAGGCTGCCTTCTTCGTTTATTTATTTATTTTCTCAAAATAAAAAAAAAATAATAAAAATTGTTCTTTTTTGTCTGAAAAAGATTAGATTGATGGTTGTTTTGAGAATTAGTGGATTGAATTTGTTTTCCCTACAAAAAATCTGCATAACCACATCCCTGTGTGACTTTCATTTAATTGGTCCAACTCAAACTTTTGGACATATTAAAAGAAAAACAATCTGACAAGTTCAGTCTTATGGCTCAGTGAGGACTGTGCAGAAGTCTCTGCATGTAAATTGGATCTACAGACAGACAGCAGTGAGAGGGTACATTTGGACTCCTTTATGCAGACAGCGTCGAACAATGTTATGGTATCTGAGCAAGTGGAGGGAAACTGCTCAGGTCTGATAAGATGTTTACAAAACAATCAACTGAAGGACATCTAAACATAGATTGAAAGTATTCAATGACTCCAGCATCAACTAAAGAAATCAAGAATGATCCCGTCATCTTTTGGAAAATGAATTTGACTGTTGATTCACAAAACTTGACTCTACAAGCTAAAGCCTTTCCTCTATTTTTTCAACCGTGTCTGTAGCAGAGTCACACTCTGACTTCCTGTCAGTTCTGGGTGTATTCCTGGTCCACACCATCATAACTGCACTCTCCCTCTCATACTTCCTCATTTGAAAGGTCTGCTGTGTCAGCTGTTTGACCGCAGTACCCTGTGAAGGAAAAACCTCTAATCTCACTCTGGAAGACGAACAAACATGGGACAGTCTAGTGAAGTTACTACTGCACTGATTTCCAGAACAAACACAAGAAGACCTCAGCTGAAAACTGTACACACTCATTTCCTCTCCAGCCTGTCGTCTCACATTTGTGTATTTCTTCTCAAAACAAGGAGATACACTCGTTTCAATAAATCCCACACGTATCTAACTTGGATGGTTCAGCAAGAAAGCGTTGTGCTTCTTCAGTAAGAACACAGTTTTTATATGAATTAGCTGCACCTGTAATCGCAATAACATAATAATATAAGTAGTAAAGCTTTCTCCAGCTTGGTCCATCATTAGTTATAAATAAATATCAATACACATTTCAGTTAATAAAAAAAAAAAAAAAAAAAAGATTTAGTCTAATTCAGTGGTTCTCAAGTCCAGTCCTCGAGCCCCCCCGTCCTGCATGTTATGGATGTTTCCCTGCTCCAACACACCTGATTCAAATGATCAGCTCGTTATCAAGCTCTGAAATGGCTTACTAACGAGAACTGATCATTTGAATCAGGTGTGTTGGAGCAGGGAAACATCCATAACATGCAGGACGGGGGGGCTCGAGGACTGGACTTGAGAACCACTGGTCTAATTTGAGACACGCTCTGAAATTTGGGTACAAACTAAGACTGAGCAGTTTTCGGTTTGTCTTTTTGGGGAGGGGGCATTTGTAACATTTACTATTTGTTATTTTGGTGAAAAGGATTGAAGAAAACTTGGCTTCCATGTTTCAAGAATCAATGTCTATTCATGGTTTTTGGTTGAATCTTCTTAAATAAGGCTTCTTTATCTTTGTGTTTTTTGTCCCCAGTTTGTAATTGTGTTGCAGCCTTTCTTGGCCAATGACAGCAGCTGAATCAGTTGAAAGGAACACTCAGAAGTTACTGAGTCACTTAAAGTTACCAGTCACTGCATGACTGAATTTTCTGCATTATGCTGATTCTTACCCCTTCAGTCTACTTAAGTTCGATTCAGATATTTTTAACAAAAAACATCATGTTCAGCAAATGTTCAAAATTACAATCCTCTCTGGTTAAATGTCTCTTATAGCTGAATACAAAAACACTGAAAACACTGAAGTTTTTTTAAGGGTTCAACCTGAAATGGGCATGTCTCGAGGGGAAGGCACCCGTAGAAATCATGTCACCACTTTGTTGAGTTTTTATCAAATATATATTCACCATCTGTATGATACATTTGATGTTAGTACTAAAGAAAATATGATTAATGGAGACAGATACAATAAATAATGCTATTCATTTGTGTATGTGTGCCCTAGGTGTCAGCACGTAACAAAGTTTTGAGTAATTGATTAAATGTACTGGAAGACAGATTTTTTTTTTCTATTAACTTTTAGGTAGGGATGAAATTAATGTGATCTCAGATTATATTCACCTCTCGGGGTGAGGTTGATTTTTTAATTCAAAGCATGTCTGAATGCAAAATAACTGGCTGCAGGTATTGTGCCCAGCTGATGAACCACAGCTCTTTTTGAAAGGAGCTGTACACCCCAGTGGCAAATAACACACAGAGGTTGAGAAATTTTTTAACAGGACGTTAACCCATCAGTGGGAAATCAATACGCAGACATCAGTGCCTTTCTGAGGTCTTGACCAGGTTGTGCTCCTAACTGACACCAGATCATGTGAACATGCTTATTTTTCTCAGTGAGAGCAAGTAGATGGAAAACCACATGCTTTAAGTCTTACATACTTCTCTGTTCAGTTCACTTATTGCAGCAAACAGACATTTAGTCATGTAGGCTTTGCTCTATATGATTTTACATCAGCGGTGGTTATTTCTTCAAGATTTAAATATTGATATTCAACTTTCACATCTCTATGTGTTCACAAGTTATACATCCATTATGTGTCCAGAGCATATAAATGATTTTCAACACTTTAACATCCTTAAAGGGATATTCCAGTGTAAAATTAATTTAGGGTCAAACACACTGTAACACCAAGTTAGACACCCCGTCGAGAGATGAATGTTGCCGACCGCATGCTTCTCTAATTTTACCAACTTTAGTAAGGACCGCAAGATAGCAATACACAGCAGTGTGAGGAGCCATCAAGAAACATTTATGATCATTTCTTCACAGAAATACAATCAGACCAAGACACGAAGGCAGAAGAACTACCGTGTCTGCAGTGCAAAATGATTAATATGATGGTTATTACTTAAAGGAAATGATAAAGTAATGATCATAAATGTTCTTCCTTGAGCTGCGTCATCCCGCTGTAGTCCGTAATGGACTGGCCTGAGGTCTCGCTACAAACAACCGGCTGCTAGAGGAGAGTGGGTGAGTTGTGTTTCGTCTCTTTGCTAAAGAAATTAGGCAAAGTTAAAAAGATGTTTGGTGGCTAGTGCTGTGGCTAGGACCCTATATGTACTGTTGATGAAGTTAGGTGCTGTTCTGAGCATTATTTGTGGCTATAGAGTGGCGTTTTGGTTGAGGTTAATTGATGGCTCATCAGGCCGTTGTGTACTGCTATCCTGCGTCATTCCTAAAGTTGGTATATCTAGAGAAGCAAGCGGTCGGCAATATTCATCTCACGAGGGGGTGTCTAACTTTGTGTTACAGTGTGTCTGACCCTAAATTAATTTTACACCGGAATATCCCTTTAATAGTGCACATGTACACGTCACGTCGCCCCTGAATGGGTCAGTGTCCCCACAGAGCCACCCCGGTTAAAAAGTCTGGACACGCCCCTGCTGATAAACTGAACTTACCGGGTTCACATCAAACTCTAAAGACAATTTTAAATCCCTACACTGGATCTGTGTCTAATAGCTAAAGGTAATCAGGTGTCTGCCTCTGTGGCAGAATGACAGCAGGTTAGATAAGTCAGGGAAGAGGATAGAGAGGCCACCGCTAAGCTAACATGCTATCATTACTGCGGCTGATTCATTCACACTAACACCGCTGTCTCCGGTTCATTTCCCTGCGGTCTCGGTCTGAACCACATTAATAACCCTCTTATCGGTTTCCTCTCTCTCTCCTCAGCCGGACTCTCGAGGCTGAACGCCTTCGTTGACGTTGCAGCTCTCTCATAGGGAGCTTCCTCCTCACCTTTCCTCTTGAAAAACGACATGACGGGTTTGACTCTCTGGACGTTTCCTCAGCTCACTGACTCCGTCCCGTGGCTCCGCGGCTCCCTTCATTCAAATGCATCTGTTCAGCACACTCCTGAGGTGGAAAAGGGTGATTCTCGCAGCCCCGGTCAGTGCTGTCAAATTACATTTTTCGCCAAATCCAAACCCAGCTCCGCGGCCATATTGTCAATAAACGTCCCACTTCCGGGCTGGTGCGGCAGTAGCATTGTGGGAAATGTTGTGTTACCAACTGAAGTCGGCAGAGGGTGGTGTTTCTTCACCGGAGTACTACGAGTCAAAGATTTACTCACTATTTTAATACAAAGGTAAATTGCAAATACAGTGTAAGGGCTGGTACTTAAATATATATCTTTAAAAATCTGAGGCTTCATTTCCCAACCATCTTTTGTAGTTTAGTGATCTTATGATCATTTTGAGTGTTTAAAACCCAATATGCACATAACTGTAAAAAACCAAATTCAGTCTACTACTAACAGCCAAAAATTCTCCTATATATTTGCAGCAGAGGTGAACCGTAGTAAAGCTTTTGAGTACATCTGTAGTCACTCTGACTTCTTAGTTCAAACTGGTTTAGAGATACAGCCGGTCATTTCTGAGGGTCAGGGGTTGTCTAGGTCCAACCATCCACGTGCAATAGTGCCTTTGGGCAAGACACTTGACCTCTACCTGCCCGCTGGCTGCGTGCAGTAGTGTGTGAATGAGTTAATACTGGTGGGTGTTTTACATAGCAGCCGCTGCCATCAGTGTGTGAATATGGTATGAATGGGTTAATGTGATAGACAATGTAAAAGTACGTTTGAGTGGTCAGAAGACTAGAGAAAATGCTAAATAAAAGAATCCACTTACCCTTTACTCCTGAAATGCTCTTGCAAATCTCTGTCTGTATGGTTTTGATGGGGTATTTTTCCTATTTACTAAAATCTTTGTTTGCAAAAGGACCCTGGACTTCACTTCAAAATAGGTTCAATTCAAGATTTGGATATTTTCTGCAGGACTCTAATTGGTAAACTGATATTTGATGATTTCTTTATCACACAAGAAGCCTCTCTCCCCTTCTTCTTGAAGTCATGGACAGCCACGTTAAAGTTTCCTGGGATTGTGATTTCAAGTCCTAAATTTGTGTAGTTGTGTGGACTGAATGTCGCTCGAGTCCAGAAAACCTGGTTTGATTCCCTCACCTACAGGTGGTTTCTAAAATAATACCCGTCTCTCTAGCGCTGGAAATATCAATTTTTAAATTCTTTCTTTCCCCTTCTTTTCATCTTGTCCTCACTTCTCCTGCTTCCTCCTTTCTTCTACTCTTTATGGCCCTGCCTCAGCTTTGTACTGTCCTCGCCTCAACCTTGTTCAGTCTCAGCACTTGATTTGAACCAAAGACCATTTCACTAAAAGAAAGTAGCTCGAACCACCACAGGCCTGTCTCAGACTGACTTTTTTTATGTCTTTTCAATCCACCACACCACGATAGCTCTTCAAAAGCTTGGTTTACTCTCCTGTGTGGGGGAAATACTTCATATATGCCCCACTTGAAAGTTCCCATTCTAGGCAGATTTGAACCCAGGACCATCTAATTCAAAGGCAGGCACTATTGTCAACCCACCACAGACCTGATTTCTTTTGTGGTCCTTGACCAACACACCACAGGCCTGTCTTGCACCACTTAAAGGTCATCTGATTTCACTTTTTCCTAATGACTGTCCAAAACCAAAGCTCAGAAAATTGCATCTGGGAAAGTCCCAGACTAGGATTTCAAACCAAATACCACTAACCCCCAACCACCACAACACAGGCCTATCTTGTAGTTCTTGCCTTTTAAGGCCATTAAGTCTCACCATCTCTTAATGACTGCCAAAAAAACAACAACAACAACAACAACAACAAAAAACAGTTCTGACAGCAGAGAGAGGAAAAGAGTGACATCCATTATATTGAGCTTTGCTTTGAAGAGGGATTATGATGTGAATAGCTGAAATTAACTGCAGGTGGTAAACACAGGACCTCTAAAATATGGTGCTGGTTTAACTCTGATGTAATTCAATGACCCAGATTCACTTCACAGATATGAGAGCTGCCACTACAGTCTGTAAACAAACATCAGTGAGAAATTCAACTTTGAGTTTATTGTAGGAAAACCTGTAAATTTTCTGAAATGTAGAACAGTGCAGAGGATTTGATGAAATGTGCCTCAAGTGAAAATATTCCCAGTAATGGTGCAAACAAATAATTTCCGCAGTAAAATTGATCACACTGTGCTTTGAGGTAACGTGGACCTCATAAATCAAGTATGAACTGAGTTGCTGAGGTTTCTAAGAGATCTTGTGCTGCACAAATCACTTCTTCATCCATTCAGTTTTATTCTCTTCCAACTTTGTGAGTCTCTTTGGGCCTGTCGATACGATACACATACTCTGCAGGCAGGAAGTAGCCCAGGTACTCCACACTGTCAGGCGTGGTGTCAATGTAGTAGTGACCTCCTTCTCCATGGTGACTGAAGCCATGTGTGTGCTCCACGCGGAGGTCCAAACCCTCGAAAGAAATCGACAGGATGAGCACAAAGCAGCCTATTTGCACTATAAACATATGCTAAAAGGATAAACTCATTTAGTGTGTCTCATTGAGTCTGGAGTGTGTTTGTTTTACTCACAGGGTCTCTGGACACCAGCACAGACTGGCAGATGAATGGAGCGCTGACCTCAAAGTACTTCAGCCAGTTGTTGACTTCATCATTGGTGTTTAAGGGGCAGACAGAGAACTCTCTTGGCTATTGAAGACCAGACACAAGAATAATAAAAGAGATTAACTTTATGAAATTTATCACTAAGGTACCTTTCACGGCAGAGATGCAGCTCAGGGCGCTTTGAGGACAACAAATGTTCCAGAAAGCAGACACATGGGGCAACAAAACTAATACCGAGCATCATAATAGCGCGATGGTCATCAGACACATTTTCTCCTGTTTTGATGATGGCTAATCATTTTATACATTATTTTCTCATCCTCTAACACTATAATTTCTGTTTTTTAATCATAGGCAGAATAAAACATGGGTGTAGTCTTTGTGATATCACCCTCTGGCTTCTGAAGAGACATTTTAAGCCCAAAGAAGCCAGAAATGCAGATCCAACATAACTTTCGATCAACCTAAACACAGATGAAGAGGCAGCTGAGGCTGATATTTAATCTCCTTTAAACAGCTACAGTGTGCACAAACAAATAAATGAGCTACTCACCAGGAATCTTTCTATGAACCATGCTATAAATGTGACCAATTTTGTTCTAACAATGGTTATTTTATTATGGGACCTGAAAGAGCTTCTTGGCCTTTGCATCCGGCCTCAAGAGGACCTTTCTGGCACTTCTGCTCAGGCTTCATTTCTGACTTTTGTTACACTTTTGCAAAAGTAAATGAATTAATCAAATTCAACAGGTTATAATGAATTACAAAATAAAGATGTCTGCAGATTGTGCAAAATAACAGATAAAGGAAAGTTATTTGATGAAAAGATCAAGATAAAACACTTAAAATAAAAAAAACAAAAGCTGAAACCCTACAAAGTAGTAAGAACATAGTAACAAATTAGGGTACATAAACTGTATTGCAACACATAATTTACTACGTTATTTTTAGTAAATATTAATAATTTTGTCAGTGTCACAAGTAGCCTTTACCATGATATGGATTCTAGCTTTCCCCTTCTGGATGATGAAGGTTCCCCCCAGAGCCAGGCTCTTCTCAGGATAGTGTTTTTCCAGAGTTGTCCTCAGAGATGTCACAAAACTGTGGCCTCCTGTTCTCTTCTTGGCTCTCACCTCCATGACCTGAAAACACACAGGTTAAGAGGGTTCAGAGGGTATGACAGCTCAGCTTTTCTTTGTGTTAATGTTTATCCTTTTAAATGTTGTTGACACACGTGCAAATATGACTGAGGTTAATAAAAAAAACTAAAAGTTAGGGTATTAACATACAGATAATTGTGTGTAGGTTCATAAATAACCAGAAGTGTTCATTATTTGCCAATGACAAGGCAATTTTTGAGGGGTCACATTAAGCTGTGTGCGATCAGTTTACCTTCCCAGGCTTCCCCTCACAGGCGTACAGATTTGCCAGCAGTCCAAAGTTACAGTCAGAGAATTTGTCGCTGTATTTTTCCTGCAGACACTGACCATCAGCAGGGTTTATGGAGGAGATGTAGCTGCTGTTCACTGCAGGTCGTCCCTCAGCTTCAGTTAGACACACAGGCATCAGCTGTGGACAAGAAAAAGAAACAATATTTACACTTTTCTCCCTCAATATGAGTGTGCTGTGGGGAAATCCAATCTTTCAATTTAACTGCTCTCTAAGAGGATCAATGACTCATCATCTCACTCACACTGAGCAGAAATTAGCTTTTAATTTTGTCATTTTTCATAATTTAGCAGCTGGTGTCTCCAGTCTTCACTCGCTGATATGCAGTTTCAGTTTCAAGTCCAAACTCCAAAATCCTACAAGCACCAAAAACTGTTCTTTCACAAATATTTACTCTGTAGTATGACAGACTGGTAGAAAGATTCAACTGAAAATGAAATTATCCAACTGAATGACATGACATGGTTCACGCATCAGAATATCAGTCATGAGCAATTCTTAAGTGCCCAAAATTATTGTATCAAAGTCAGGATCCATGGTATGGTGTAGGTAGAAAAGATTCACCTCTGCATTCATCCCAATGACCTTGGATGCAACTGCTCCAGCACCAATCATGAATGCACCGGGCAGCTCCAGCTGCTTTGATATGGTGTTCATGTTGTACTCCTGACGGGCAGAAGAGACAAAAATATAACAATCACACTCCCTGCAGGTTATTTCCTGGTGTCTCTACGCTATGCTTCTATTTTCAAAACATCTACCTTCTCTCTCTTAACCAGGGGTATCAGGTACGGCACACCACCGACATCAGTGATGCGAGGATTTCCACACAAGCCTGCAGAGTGAGGAAAGAGAGGGAACAGTATGACATGTAAACAATATATATCTTAAGATATAGTCCTCTATATTGCAGACACAAGAACAATTTTCACCCCACTGTTCAAGAAAGAAGATGCAGCTTTTCCACTAATACTTCTTTTGTCAGTTCCTCATGTGAGTAATCTTATTCACATGTGACCATCAAAGTCGAGTTTTGCCCCAATCTACTCAACAGAGGAAGATCCTCTCAATATTTGCCTTTTTATTGAGTATGGTTACTCTTTAGTGAACTATTTGGGTTCAAAAGTTGACCTCTGAATCAAAGAAATGGAAAATTCTCTGGCTGGGCTAAGACCATGGGCATAAACCATGATTTGTCTTTATTAAATTGACCATAAAGCTGTGAAATGTTGTTTTTCCCGACCAATGTCATTCATTAGCCACTGAGCGGATATCTTTGATTTGATGCTGAAACTTTTTGATCTCCACCAGCCTTTATAGTCACCCACAACAACCACTGAGGATGCAAAACACATCCACACTCAAGCCTAAAGCAAACTTTGAGAGGCTGATAGGTGGAGGCAGTGCAGCAACTAACTTGGCCTAGAGGGGTTTACAAAGTGCAGACTCTTGCATAATTGTGCTGAACACACACGACTTAAACAAACAAACAAATACACAAGCCGTTAAACGAATTTCAGATGAATGGTGTAGTATTTGTCAACTGCTGTAAACACAGTGTGGAAAATTCATAAAATAACTTTGACGGTATTCTTACCTTTGGCAGGAAAGTTGAAGGGGTCCTTGGTGAGATCTGGACACTCCACAACACTCACCTGAACTTCAGCAAAGTTCTCCTCCAGCCCAGCTTGAAGCACTGCAACCAACAATGTCTCGCTTTTTTAGCAACATAGTACTGTCGTAAAATCACACCTTGGCTATAATGTTAGTTTATCAAAGTTGATGTCCTTACCACCACGCAGCTCCTCTAAACTTGGCGTGTGCAGCTGCACCTTCTCCGTTTTGCTGACATCTGCCATGATACCTGTACTGAAGAGAAATGCGACTGTAGACGATGACTGGAGCGAATTTAAGTACAGTGTGGTTGAAACGTAACCAAAGAGTAAATATTAGCAAGATAGTCCACACCCCACATTGCAGCTATTTTATCAGCACATTTGCTTAAATACAAACAGACCCGGTCTCTGGATGATTTTGAGCTATTCTAGTTTAGTATGGCAAAACAAAAACAAAAATTTAATTAAATTGAATTAAAATTAAAAAGAAGAAGTTGACACCAGATTTGCCCTAAAACTAGGAAATAGACAGAAAAAAAGAGGAAACGAGTGTAGCTTTAGCAAAAACATCCATTAACAACTTAATAAGGCCAAATAAGTTTTGTTATTTCAAAACAAGCCTCTTTTTTCATCTTTAAAATGTCACAAGTATCTGGAATAGTAGGGCTACTCACTTAGTCGACCAGTTTATTGTGTAAATCCTAACCTGGCATGCATCCACACACCGTCTCTGAATCTGTTTCCTGTCTTAATTACGGCTAAACTATTTCGTTTTATTGTCAAGACCTCCACTTATTTGGTGTGTTCTCACAATAAAGTGAAGCTGTTATCTGAAGAAGACGAGCTTTTTTATCCCCAGACAACAAATCTGTGAATAAATCTCCTGTAACAGTAAGCTAGCTTTGTTATATTGAGATAATAAGTAAAATAAATTATTATTTTTTTTTTTTTAAACTACTAGACACTTATAACTACCACGGAAAAAAGGAGTTAATAAAGGGTATGGATTCATCTCTGTAAGTCTTTTATTATAATGGGCAATTAAAAAGTAGGAAGTGGAAAGAGTTTGCAAAACAGTGTTTACGTTATAGATTCTTAAGAGGGTCAAAAATGTCGATTTTTCTTGAACAACATCAAACAGTCCTCATTAATATCGTCTTCGCTAAATGAATCCAAAGCGGAAGTAGAAAGAGTGAAGTTTCTTGTGTCTTTAATATGGCTGCCTCCTCTTTGTTGATTGGTCAGATGATCCTACGCAGTCGGAACACTTCCTGGTCGACCCAGAAACACATGTGGAGCAGCGTGTCTCTGTATTTACATGCTTTGGTACAGCTACAAACTGTTTTCTATCATTAGTTCAACGAGAAATCGAAGCTATTTTTATTTCAATTGTTTATTTTTCATAAGACTCTATTTCGAGCATCTTATGGGGAACGGATAGCGTGGAGGTATTCTGCTGCTGTCTTGTCAAAGATTACCTCAAGCATACTCCTTATCGTCTGTTTCTAATTTTCACAATGGCTGGAGTGAAATCTCATGCCACAGTTGAGGCTGCTCCTTTGAAATCATGTATAGTGGTGAAAGAAGGATCAAGTTATTCAGAGAAAGTATCACAATACCTGGAGTCATCGTGTGGACAAAACGGACAGGGTGGGGTATCTGTTGAAACTGTGGAAGAAGACAGGTATGAGTGAGACAAATTCTCCATGATCATTAAAGTGAAAAAATCTCCAAACTTACTGTTGCATGTGTTTTGTTTCTCTGTAGTAGTGACTCGGGGGACAGCCTGTTCATAACGCAGAAACCTGTACCTATACCTGTGAGGTCAACAAGAGGCCGCCCTAACCTGAGGTCAGACACCAGACCTCCCAGAGATCTAGATGAGGATGAAGATGACTCTTCGTCATCCTCTTCTCCTGAGAGGAGATTTGAGATACCTGCAACTCAGAAAGAGAAGAGGATGAAAACAAAACTGCCAGAGTACAGTTTTCCTTTCCTGACAGGGAAGCGGTACAGACGCAGTGGCAGAGGCACACGAGAGCAGAACAGAGGCCTTCATGTAAGGCTGAAATACTCTCTGAATTAATATTTTGTTGTTGTTGTAATGGTTTTTTTAATGTTATACTGTCTTTTCTTGACAGAATGCTGGGATTGCGGGCTTCTTCAGAGAGATGTGGGAGGCTCATAAAAGGGGAGAAGATGTGGAGTTATCTTTACCGACTGTGGACACAGATGGGGAGGATATATCGCCATTGTCAGAGTGAGTGAATATGAATCAGGTTTAATTCAAGGTAAAAGCTATTTGTTTAAAGGGTAGCCTGGATCCATGAAAAACATCATTATTTCTCAAACAATAATTTAAAAAGTGTTTAACTTTTGTGGAGCCACGCAGTTGAGAGAACCTTGCTGGAGTACGCCAGGTTCTCTCTGGAAAAATTATTGACTTGATGGCAGCATATGTTGATCCAAAACCTGTGTATAACTTTAAGCATTGATAATGCTAAGCCACAAATGTCATGGGCACTTATACATCCCCATACCATCAAATCTTTTGAACTTGAACTGATCACAAGTCAGGTGGTTCCTCTCCTTTGCAGAGGTGCCCATGATATCCTAAAAGAAAGTCAAATTTTGATTTGACAGATCACAGGACAATTTTTCCATGATGCCTCAGTCCATTTTAGACAAACTCAGACCAGAGAAGTCACCAGGATTTCTGGATCAGTTTTATTTATAAACTTGTGCATGATGCAGTTTTAACTATGGATGGACTGATTGATTTGTTGATTGATTAAAGGCATTTTGACCTCTTCTGCCTCACAAGGCCAATATCACCGTTATCTTTTCTGAATGAAAACACATCTTTCCAATCACCCACAAACAGCATCTCAAATCCAGAACAGTCACTGACTGGTGTTTTAATATTGTATTGTATTATAATGTTTAGTATTGGCAGCAGTATTAGCCATGTTTTACAAATTTAAACATAACCCAGTATCTGTCTATGTATTGATTCATTGAAAAATTCATCTGAATATTTACCAAGTAGTTACTAAAGTTCAGCAGTTCTTTTTTAAATATGTTAGTACAATTAAATTGTTGTGTTTTGTCAAATGTAAAAAAAAAAAAAAAAAAAACAAGCAACAGAAAAAGGACAAAAACAACACAAAGTGAAATTGGCCATATACGTCACCCTTAGGCTGGCTTGCCCTCTCATAATCAGTCAACCGCTAGTTTAAAACTTCATTTCTGGATGCAGCAGTGCGCTGTGTTCAAAGAGAAAGTGTTTTGGAAGTGATTTTGAGCTTATGCAGAAATTTCCACTCCAGAGTCATTTCTGTCTTTAATGCAGAGCAATCTAAGGGCCATCTTATATTAGTTTTTGGCCATGCTCCTTTTTGTACAGCGATTTCTACAGATTTGGTCGATCTCCAAATTCTCTGCAATGTGATGCTGAGAAACATTATTCTGAAATTGTTGAAACTTCGTCTCACAGAGTGGTGAAACTCTTCCTAGCTTTACTTCAGAGACACTTGATTCCATAGCAATGTCATTGTTTACACTCAGCCATGTAAATAACATGTTACAGATAAATGTGGGTAGCTGGGGGCTGTGACTCCAGGTTATTTATTTTGGCATTTGCACAACTTTTCTAAAGTTTTCTTGCCTCTGTCTCAACCCTTCTGAAACATGTTACTTGCACCATGTTTAAAACGAGAATATATTTTCCATCACATAAGCACATCTTTTCAGTTTCAACATATTATATGTAGTTAATGCAGAAGGTTTGATTAAATGTAGGGTGATCAACACATTAAATTGCATTTTAACAATTTTTTAAATTGAGAATGTTGTATTTTGATACATTCATTTAAAAGCAGAGGTTTTAACTAACAATGAAACAGAAACCAACACCACTAACTGCTGCAAGTAAAACCAGCTTCTTGTAGTGTGGCCAAATTACCACAAAATTAGAGCTCCTCATAGATGTTTTAAGATGATTTAGTCCCTCTTATCTATTTCATTTATTGCCTTTTAGAAAACAGTTCAACTGACCCTACAGGTCTATTCGACATTTTATGATTATTTTAATGAGGGTTTGGGTTAACCATAGACTGTTTATAGCATGGACGCCGTCAGCCTCCTCACTGGGTGAAGCCACCCCGAGAACAGCACACTCTGGTGTCAGGCTGCAGTATAGGTCATGAATTCCGCCTCCTCCAGCAATCCCTATGGAGCTGAGGACAAACTTGAGAAATAAAGTACAGAGAATATAAAATTTTCTCCCCCCTGCTTGTGATGTCGACATGTAGTTACTGTCAGACTGGTTTGTGCTCAAGTCCTCTTTTTTCTGTACAGCTCCATTTTTAAAAAATGTTTTTTCTATGATTGACACTTGATACAGCCTATGGGCGTACGAAGATTGCATAGCTCACCTGGGGGATAAGCTGTTTGAGTTGAGCTTCATCGTAGTGACTCTCCCGCCGAATGCGCACAACGCTACTGCGCAAGTGGTGGAGTGTGTACAACGCTACTGCGCAATGTTAGCTTCAGGAAGTGGAGAAAAAAATGCAGAATTACTGAGAGCTTTTCAGCTTCAAATCCGTATACTGGCTGAAGGTGGAACAAAGTTGTCCATAATATATACAGTCTATAGGGTTAACATGCAAGATACGATAGTTCTGGTCTATTGAAGTGATTGATAATGAATCTTATTTTCTGTTGTAGAGAAGAGGAAGAAAGGTCAGAAGATGAGGACATCAAAGTTGTAGTGGGTATCTGTTTTTACAAAGAATCTTGTATTTCATGGCATATTACTTTGCTCTTAAACTGTTTGTCATCCTACAGGAGAGGAAAGTCTTTGCAGTGCCACTAAAAATTAAGAACCAGCAAACCTGGTGCGATCATTTAAAGCAGAAAAGTATTAGAAAAGCAGCAGATGCCAGACAAGAACGCTCACAAGGAGAACAACGCAAGGCATTCAATGAGAAACAAGCCGAGGCAAATACATCAAGGAACATCGAGGAGGAGGATGAGGAAGAAGTGGTGCCAAGAAATATAGAGTCTTCTTCTGAGCAACCTGAAACATTGGGTACAGACAGGGTTCAGGAAGGAGGACAGGAGGAGGAAGACACTTCACACTTACAACAAAAGATGATCAGGAGAACCACGCAGGAGGTGATTGAAAACTCAGAATCTGATCTTGGATCGGAGGATTCAGCTTCTTCTAATGCAGAAAAGGTTGTCAAGGAGAAGAAGAAAAGGAAAAGTATTGAGGAAGACGAGGAGCAGCCACAATCCAGTGAGAAAGCTAAAAATAAGACAAAAGGGAAAAGAGAAGATGAGATTGTAAGATCAGAGGAGAGGCGAGAAGAGGGAGAAGAGTCTACAGCAACTTCTCAAGAAATGCGCATATCCCATTTCATTCAGAGAAACAAGCCCCTGTCATTTTCTGATGATGCAACTTATGAAGAAGAGAGTGAAGGTGCAAGCTCTTTTGTAGCTTTGGATGAACATATGGAGAGGTCACCAAAACAGAGAAAGACGAGGATGAGAACTGACTCTGAAGAAGTGGATAACTCTCTGGATCTTTTTGGAAATGAAAATGTTGAAAACACAGATGACACTCAGAGAAAAGCAGAAGATGATCAAATGGCGACAAAGAAAAAGACGAAAGAAGGGCTAGAAAGTGAGAGTTTCAGCGACAAAAAAGCTGAACTTGATGCTGCACGAGGTGATGATTCAGCGTCTGTCCAGCAAAGGAAGAGGAGCTCATCCTTCCTCGGTGCTGATGCAGAGTCTTTACAGTCTGTGGAAACTCCTGTTGATGGAGCAGGACGACCCGGAGATACTGCTGGACATTTAGACACAGAATCAGCAGAAATGTACAGAAATGAGGAAGAGTGTGTAGAAGAGGTCAGAAAAGGGGAGAATAGAGAGAGGTTAGAAATTCAGGACAGGGGGGACAAAGATCAGGAGCAGGAGTTTGGAGAACCAAACACAACCTGTCACACTGCTCCATCTGAAAGAACTGCACCAGAGCAGGAAGGGATGGGTAAGGGTTCAGAAAGTAATACTGAGTCACTGAGGACAGTAGAAAGTGTGGAAAGTACTGTAGATGCAAGGCTTCCTTCAACAGATGAAAGTTTGGTGTTAAAAGAGAAGAAGAAGAAGAGAAAAAAGAAGAACACGTTAGAATTTCAGGACAGGGTGGACACAGATCAGGAGCAGGAGTTTGGAGAACCAAACACAACTTGTCTGAGGATAAGTAAGCGTTCAGGACGTGATACTGATTCACTGAGGACTGTAGAAATTGTTGCAAATGCAGGACTTTCTTCAACAGATGAAGCTGTTGTGTTAAAAAAGAAGAAAAAGAAAAAGAGGGAGATGTTAGAAATTCAGGATGGGGTGGACAAGGAGCAGGGGTTTGGAGAACCCATCACAACCTGTATGAGTGCTTCACCTGGAAGAACTGCGCCAGAGCTGAAGGGGATAGGTGAGCGTTTAGGAAGTGATACTGAGTCACTGCGTGCAATTGAAAGTATAGAAAGTTCTATAGATGTAGGACTCCATTCAACAGATGGTAGTGTGGTGTTAAACAAGAAAAAAAAGAAAAGGAAAAAGAGGGAGATGTTAGATATTCAGGATGGGGTGGAAGAGGAGCGGGAGTTTGGAGAACTAAACACAACCTGTCTGAGTGCTTCACCTGTAAGAACTGAACCAGAGGTGAAGGGGAAAAGTAAGGGTTCAGGGAGTTATACTGGGTCACTGAGGACAGTAGAAAGTGTAAAAAGTGCTTTAGATGCAGGACTCTCTTCAACCGATGAAGCCGTGGTGTTAAAAAAGAAGAAGAAAAAGAAAAAGAGGGAGATGTTAGAAATTCAGGATAGTGTGAACAAGGAACAGGCGCAGGAGTTTGAAGAACCAAATGCAACCTGTCTGAAGTCTTCACCTGAGAGAACAGCACCAGAGCAGAAGGGGAAAAGTATGCGTTCAGGTAGTGATCCTGGGTCACCAACGACAGTTAAAAGTGTAGAAAGTGTTGTAGATGCAGGACTCCCTTCAACAGATGATAGTGTGGTGTTAAACGAGAAAAAAAAGAAGAGAAAAAAGAGAAAGATGTTAGATATTCAGGATGGTGTGAACAAGGAACAGGAGCAGGAGTTTGGAGAAGCAAACACAACCTGTCTGAAGTCTTCACCTGAAAGAACCGAGGCAGAGCTGAAGAGGATGAGTAAGTGTTCAGGAAGTGATCCTGGGTCACCAACGACAGTAAAAAGTGTAGTAAGTGTTGTAGATGCAGGACTCCCTTCAACAGATGATAGTGTGGTGTTAAACGAGAAAAAAAAGAAGAGAAAAAAGAGGAAGATGTTAGATATTCAGGATAGGGTGGACAAAGATCAGGAGCAGGAGTTTAGAAAACCAAAAACAACCTGTCTGATTGCTTCACCTGAGAGAACTGAGGCAGAGCTGAGGAGGATAAGTAAGCGTTTAGGAAGTTATACTGAGTCAGTGAGGACAGAGAGTGTAGAAAGTGTTGTAGATGCAGGAATCCCTTCAACAGATGAAGCTGTTGTGTTAAAAAAGAAGAAGAAAAAGAGGGAGATTTCAGAAATTCAGGATGGGGTGGACAAGAATCAGGAGCAGGAGTTTGGAGAACAAAACACAACCTGTTACACTGCTTTGCACGAAAGATCTGAGCCAGAGCAGAAGGGGATAAGTAAGCGTTCACGTAGTGATACTGGGTCACTGAGGACAGAAGAAAGTGTAAAAAGTGCTGAAGATGCAGGACCTCCTTCAACAGATGAACCTGTTGTTTTAAAAAAGAAGAAAAAAGAAAAAGAGGGAGATGTTAGAAATTCAGGATGGTGTGGACAAAGATCTGGAGCAGGAGTTTGGAGAGCCAAACACAACCTGTCTGAGTGTTTCACATGAAAGATCTGAGCCTAAGCTAAAGGGGAGAAGTAAGCATTTAGTAAGTGATAACGAGTCGCTGAGGACCCTGGAAAGTTCAGGAAGTACTGTAGATGCAGGACTACCTTTAACAGATGAAGCTGTTGTGTTGAAAAAGAAAAAGAAGAAAAAGAGGGAGATGTTAGAAATTCAGGACAAGGAGCAGCATTTTAAAGAGCCAAACACAACCTGTCATACTTCCTCACCTGAAAGAACAGCACCAAAGCAGAAGGGGAAAAGAAAGCGTTTAGGAAGTGATAGTGAGTTGCTGAAGACAGTTCAAAATGTAGAAAGTGCTGTAGATATTTCACTCGCTTCAATGGATGATGCTGTAGTGTTAAAAAAGATGAAGAAGAGGAAAAAGAGGGAGATGTTAGAATGTCAGGACAGGGCATACAAAGGTCAGGAGCAAGAGTTTGGAGAACCAAACACAACCTTTCAAACTGCTTCACTTGAAAGAACTGAAAAAGAACTAAAGGGGAAAAGTAAGCATTTAGGAGGTGATACTGAGTCACTGAGGACAGTAGAAAGTGTAGAAAGTGCTATAGATGTAGCACTCGCTTCAATGGATAATTCTGTGATGTTAAAAAAGAAAAAGAAGAAAAAAAAGAGAGAGGTGTTTGAAAATCAGGACAGGGTAGACAAAGGTCAAGAGCAGGAATTTGAAAAACCTGACACAACCCGTCACACTGCTTCACCTGAAAGAACTGAGGCAGAGCAGAAGATACGTAAGCATTCAGGACGTGAAACTGAGTCACTGAGGGCAATGGAAAGTTTAGAAGATGCTGTAGATGCAGGAATCCCTTCAACAGATGAAGCTGTTGTTTTAAAAGAAAAAAAGAAGAAGAAGAAAAACAGACAGATGTTAGAAATTCAGGACAGGGTGGACAAAGATCAGGAGCAGGAGTTTGGAGAACCAATCACAACCTGTCTGAGTGTTTCACATGAAAGATCTGATCCAGAGCTGAAGAAGATAAGAAAGCGTTCAAGAAGTGATACTAAGTCACTGAGGGCAATGGAAAGTTTAGAAAGTGCTGCAAATGCAGGACTTTCTTCAACAGATGAAGCTGTGGTGTTAAAAAAGAAGAAGAAAAAGAAAAAGAGGGAGATGTTAGAAATTCAGCACAGGGTTGACAAAGATCTGGAGCAGGAGTTTGCAGAACCAAACACAACCTGTCTGAGTGTTTCACATGAAAGATCTGAGCCAGAGGTGAAGAGAAAAAGAAAGCGTTTAGGAAGTGATACAGAGTTGCTGAAGGCAGTGGAAAGTATAGAAAGTGCTGTAGATGCAGGACTTCCTTCAACAGATGAAGCTGCTGTTTTAAAAAAGAAGAAGAAGAAGAAAAAGAGTAAAGATTAGACATGCCATGTGATACAAGACAGTCCTTCAGCTGGTCCTGTAGACCTGGATTAGAAATGCTGACAAAACCATGTCACTGATGTAGTGTAGAGGAAAGACCTGAATGTGACATTTTCAGCCATGTCTGTAGATTTAAAGTTCAAACATTAATTTAAAATCAAGTTTTTAAAGAAATTTGACAAATGTTATACTAGCATACTATTTTTTTATAAAATGTATTGTTTTATACCAAAACTTTTTTATATTATATTTTTATAATAAAAGCTTTTGCACACCACAGTCTTAAGGGGAAATGTGTGATGTCTGAATTCATTCATAATTACAATTTTTTAACGACGAATCCAACAGATCATTATAATCTTTTTTCAGACTTGTTTATGGCCTTTATTGAATGATCCAGGACAGTGAATTGACCTGGAAACAAAGAGAGAGCAGGGGATGACATACAGGAAAGGGGCCAGAGGGTAGAATCAAACCTGAACCTTAAGGGCACCATGACCACTTGTTTATTGACACTCCCAAAGATGATTTTAATTTTTTTTTTATTTTTTTTTTATTTATTTTGGCTGGTATCTGTTTGATCACCCAAACATCTGCTCAACTGACATGAGGGACAAATTGCTAGATCCTTCTTCACTGATCAGAAGTCAAATGTATTTTCTTTTTCTCTTATGCTATCTTGTGAGAATAATTTGTCTTTGTACCTTGATTTTTGAATTTAAGAATCCCTTAATGGAATGTGCAAAACCAGAGAGAAATTCGAAACATGGGCTGTTGATATCGAAAAAGGGCAAGAAAACTTCTGCAAATGAACATCATATGAAGTCAGATACACTTGATCAGATAGAACACTTAGAAGATAGATAGATAGGTAGATAGATAGATAGATAGATAGATAGATAGATATATAGATAGATAGATAGATAGATAGATAGATTTTCCTGCTCATTATGATGGATACTAATATATGCACATTTTTTTATTTTCCATTGTAAAGAACACCGAGTTTCTCCTGTAATAGAACTGACCTGTCATTATTATTTTTCAATTTATTTTATTTGTTTAATTAATTAATTAATTAATTAATTATTATTATCATTATTTTTATTTATTTATTCATTTTTGATTAATTTATTAATTTACTTTTTTTTTTTTTTGAGGGGGGGGGGGGTTGTAACAGAAATAGACCAACAACCAATTTATTGCTAAGACATAATGCATATATTTTATTTCACTACCAATAATATATGCAAATATTTTTTAACATGGACGTTCAGTGATGAGTCAGCTGTCTATTAATGACACTTCAAAATACTGCCATATTGTTTTATATGCTATGTGTTCCATGCATGATTGCATAAACTGCCACTGTGCAAATATTCAAGATGTCAAATTTGGCTGATAATATTGCCATAAATGTTCTATTTCTTCCTGTAGCCATGATTAAGACCGACTCTATGCCGATAATATAGTTCGCTTCTCGTGAGAATACCTGTTTAGATAATGTTTTACAAATCTATACAGCAAATTAGGCTGTACAAAAATAAAAGGCAGTTTTAATTAAATATTTAAAGAATAAACAACTATGTTGAGTTATAATATTAAGATTAAAAAACAGCATAAAAATAATAATTTTGCATTGTCTGTTATGATTTTATCTTTTTAATATGGTATTTGATTATCAGTACAATATTCCTTTAACTGTACATTTATATTTACCCTATTTCAATAAAATTAGTCATTTTATTTTTGAAGCCGTACCCGGAAGTAACACATCCCATCACTCCTGGCTTTATATACAACACTTAAAACGGTAGTGGGAATTATTGCTCCTATTTTATTTTGGCGGAAATTCACCGGAAACCATCTGTGAACAATCCCCTTGAGGGCGAAGGAAGAGTGGCAGCTTAAACAAAAGGGGGCAACCTTATTATGAGGAGTTTTGCATGTTACTCGAGACATGTCGTGCATTCCTCGGCTCATTTTACGCACGCTGACTAACCACAACAAGCTCGCGGGCACGTTACGTAAGCGCGCATGCACTCTCGGCTTTTAAACAGAGAGACCGTGAGAGACTGTGAAGCTCCAGTCCCAAACTTTTGCTCCGCTGCTGAAGCCTCTGACAGCACCAGCGTGTGTCTTCACACACATCTTTTTCGTACAGTGCTACCAAATAGTCATGTCATCGTACAACAACAGCGCGCGCTTTAACGAGGCCAGGAAAGTGGCTATTTTCGGGGGGACACACGGGAACGAGATGTCAGGCGTGACACTCGTCAACCTGTGGGTGAAAAACAGCGCCGAGATCCAGAGGAAAAGAGTCGAAACCAAACCGTTTATCACCAACCCGAGGGCTGTGGAGAAGTGCTCCAGATACGTGGACACGGACCTGAACAGAGCCTTCAGCCCGGAGAACCTCAGGTAAACACGGGGGGGGGGGACCTGTCATGTCCTGACTATATGTCCCAGCTGCTTCTGCGTGTTTTTGTTTTTGTTGTTGTCTGCTGTCACACTCAGAAACCATAGGTGCTCTGTCATGGAATAGATCCACAACACAAACCCACTGCAAGACTGTCCTTTATTATTTACTGTTGTGTTGGTTATGTTACGAGCTCAGTGCTGTATACACTGTACAAGGAACGTGCACACCTACACAGTCAAGCTTGACCTTGTTTGGATGGTGTGTGTACATTTTGTCCCTGGTGCATTTTTTTGTGATTGAAATTCCTGAAATTAAGAAAACACTGTTATTGTGTCTGATCCTTGAAGCTGTAGCCGAACTGTTACAGTTAATTGAAACATTAAAAATATGCAATTAATCGATTTTGCAAAATAGTCGACTAAATTGACTATACATTGTATTTGTCTATGCTTGACAAATGATCATACAGCCATGTGATCAGTTAACATAATCTTGCTCAAGTAGCCTACTACTACTAACCTAGGTCTAAACAATAACGATAACCGTACACAATAATATGTGGAGGTCGATGAATATAGGGGTCAGGTCACGCCACTCAACATGATGTCATCTTATAGGGAATTTAAAAATAGAAGAAAACACGCGGATACTCCCCTCAAACTGTTATGGTCACAGTTAGTGTTTACCATCAACCATTTCCCCCTTCACATCCTCCCTCCTCCCTGAAACCCCCCTCTGGCTCTGTGCCAATAACAGCAGAGCAGCGTGTCTTCAAGCCCCCTCCTCCCGGACTTGAGCCAGCAGGAAAAAACGTGAGCCAAACGTGACCGAGCTGCAAATGAATTAAGACTCTGCTTTCCCTCATTCTCTCTCTCCCTTTTCAAATCGTGCCTCTTCGTGTGCGCAACAGCGGAAAGTAAAGTCTTACGCAAACGCTGGCTCATGCATTCATTGTGCATGAACACACACAGAAGCCTATTTACTAATGTTATTAGATAACAGCAATACACTATACATATTTCATCACGTGACTCCTATATTAACACTGTGAAGGTATTATAGCGTGTCTGTGGTACTCAGCTGGGAAGTTATAACGATTCTGTACTGTATCATTTATTACTGAACTTTGCAGTTTTTACCACTGTTTTAAACAATAGCTATATTACTGTAGATTAATCATGATGTCTATTTTACCTGTGATTCAATTTGGTAAGTGTGTTTTAGGTCTCATTAAGAATGGCTGAATTAAAGTTAATTTTACTTTTACACCAGCAAAATTGTTAATCATTATTTTATAATATCGCAAGTTTTTTTCAAAACAGAGAGATTATGTTTCTCAATTGGGTTCACCAGGCTAAATGAAGCAAAAAAAATCTCTATATATATCTATACACACACACACACACACACACATACACACATACATATATACATACATACATGATGAAAATATGCAGTCAAAGCCACTCGCTGCCTCATTGGGGACTTCTTTAATGGCCCTTAAAGATCCTTGCTTTTCAGCTTACACACCCTTTGGCCTTGTGAGGCAACACATAAGAAGATTAAACAGAACCTAAATAGACTGACAGCTTTGCTCTTCCTCTCATTTACTCTCTCCCAGTTGAAGGTTTGCTGTTGCAAACACCCTTCTTGTGTAGCCTACACTATAAACTATATTTCTGAGCAAAAGCCCAGGCAATAATAGGTGCTTTATGCTGAAAGTGATGTCAAAAGAGCAGATGTGAGGCTGGTCAGACAATATGGACAGCAGAGGCGCTGTGTGCTACAGCAGCTTGGAGAATGTCCTGGACTGGTGGTGTGGTTATTTTGAAATGCTCCCAAAGAGCACAGAGGAAAAAAAGTGGGGGCTGGCTATCATCCCCTGCTCAGAGAGTGATGTCTGTTTATTGGAATAAAAGAAAGTTTGTATCAAGGGCCAACACATTTCTAAAGGGTCATTAAAAGTAGACATGTAAAAGTATTTTCTTACAAATGAAGGGCATTGCGAATTACTCTTAATTTGTCTCATAGGACGACCACTTTCCTCAGGCATCATGCCTAAGATGGAAAGACAAGACTCAAGCTTCTCTCAAAAAGAAATATTAGCTAGCTAACAGTATTTTTTTAGCCATTTGTATCTTAATTTTCATGAACACAGTTTACATTTTTCAATCAAATGGCAGGCAGTTTAAAGACTTTTCAGATTTTTTCAGTTTATCCAACACATTAACTTGTAACACAGCAGTACAACATTATATCAGTATTTGAGCTTCCATCCTCATCTTGAGCTCAGGGAAAATATAAATATAGTAAAGTGCTACCATGCCTTTTCAGAAAAGTATAATGCCAGGCAACAAGTAGCGCCTAATTTGCAGTTATCAATGTTTTTCTATTATATGTGGTATGAGAATATCATATATGAAACAGACATTCAACACAGAACCAGGAAGCTCTTGTTTTGGACTTTGTACTTACTTTCCACTTTAATCCAACAGTTACTGTGTTAACTTGTTGCAGTTAAACTCTTCCATAATGGTTGACACTGAGGTGAAAGTTTTCACAGGGCGTTGAGGTCCAGTAGACACCCTGTGTCAGTCATTAACATGCTTTATTGCTTATTGTTCCATCAGCAGAATTGTCTGATAAGGTATAAATGTGTCAATACCTGATTGCTTTCTCTTGCTGGTGTGTGTTTGCCCTGCAGTGCCCCAGAAGGAGATAACCTGCCCTACGAGGTGCAGAGAGCTCAAGAGATCAACAGGATGTTTGGGCCCAAAGGCAGCCCAGAGGCATATGATGTTATCTTTGACCTCCATAACACAACGTCTAATATGGGCTGCACTTTGATCCTGGAGAGCTCCAAAGACCACTTCAATCTGCAGATGATGAACTATATCAAGGTAATAGCCTTGAGGAGTTAGGTCTGCTCTGAGCATGAGCATAGAGTGGCCTGTATACCACTGGTCAAATCCACCATCACACTCCATAAAAAAAACAAAAGTCGGTGTTATGGCACAGGAAAGTGTAGTATAGGGGCTGTTATTATATGTTCAACTAGAATTGACATATATTTGGGATACTTTTACACTTGCACGTAGTGTATCTTGCTACACCATCTTGATACTGTTGTGAAAAAAACTTGAATGATTTCAATATTTTGTTATTTACACAAAAAATATATTTTTTGACCTACAGCACTACTGTAATACATAACTCCAGACTTTTTAACTTTGATACAGTGCTGGTGTATAAATTATAATCAATAACTCATCTGATATCACAGCGCTCAAAAGAGGTTCAAAGGTCTTGGCACACGAAGTGAAACAACTTTTTACTATCAACCCACACAGAGAGATAGACAAAAAGAAATCCAGTGCTCAAGCCAACACACTTGTAGTTACCACAATAGCATGTAGTGTCTTTACACTGTGTAGTGTAAAAGGACACAAGATACTGTGTAGACTCATACTCAATAACCCCTCATTGTTATCCCTCTGGACGTACTACAAGGAAGTGTATCTCACAGGCTTTTCATCGATGAACTCTTAATCATTGTATACAGAAATAGCCCCGCTGATTGTCACATTTCATTCTAATATACATAAATACTTACATAACTAAAAGTATACTATTGGGCTTAGTGATCTAAAGTAATTTGTTATTTTGAGATTTTTTAATTCAAAACACATTGTGTCAAAAAGTATGAAAGTGTATGATACTTTTGTCGACCCTGGTGTGCAGTTTGGTAAAAAAAAAAGTATTTTAGACACACTTCTGCAAATGAATGGAGGTTAAAGGTGATAATATCTTCCCTCTGCCGAATCGTTATGTGTGCCAACAAGTCAAAGTTTTACTCAGAGGTCAGAGAGGTTCAGTTAACCTACCTCTACAAACAATATAATGATTAGTTTACCTTTCTGCGCTGGGTAAACTCTTCCAAAGGATCAGCTATCTAATGAGCTCTGCTGAAACGAAGCTCTCCAGCAGAGTACCACTTGTAAACATTCACATATATTTCACATGTTAAACAACAGAACTTGTTTCGGTCTATTCAAATATTTGCTGTGAGTAAGAAGCGATACTGTTGATACATCATAGAAAAACGCTCACCTTATCGTACCTTACACGTGTGAGTTTGTTGTTGTTTTCGTCTGGTAAACACGCTCTGTTTCTGTTCACAACTTGAGCTTTTTCTCCTCAGTACAAATTTGAGTCATGCAGAGAAACACCAGGGAGGAAAGAACAGCCAAATGCAACATGCTGTTTGCGACATCGAGCACTAGGGGTCATGAGAAATATGTCTTTTAGCTTTTAGAGACACAAAATGCTCCTCTTTGTTTTACAGGTTGAAGGCACACTTTACAGAAATGCTACACTTGCAAACCCAGCTTTCTGTTTTGAAACTGTAATTTTTTTGACTCCCTTGAAAAAGAGGTTTTTAATCTCAATGGCACATTTCTGGTTAAATAAAGGTTAAACAAATAAAACTGTCCCTAAAGATCAGCTGTTTAATGACTCATTCCTTCAAATGTTTGTCATTGGCTGTAGTATTAGTGATGATCTTAGGGCACAGTCCAACAGCATGTCCCTACATCATTGGAGAATTTAGTAGAAGTATCCCTTTGTAACACCAGTTTAATTCTAGTCCACAGGTTGGAAACTGCCACGTATTTTTGTCTTTCTTTATTCAGTTTTTTTTTCTTGGCAATAACAAACATTGCATCTGTTGGAGTTTAAAATTGAGTCTGGACTGAAACATTCAGGGGGCTCAGAAAAGAGAGAACCAGAAGCACACCCTTAGAGCACTGACCTCTGCATGGCCTTGTCCGTGAACTGGATTCAGATTTGCTCCGTCTTTTGTTGATTCAACTCAACAACTCTCCATTAAGTTTCATGAAGTTCAGTCCAAAAACCCCCCTGTTTTCTGTATCTATTTTATCTGTTTCTATATGAATTATAACCTGTTAACAATAACTACAGTTGTATTTATGACAGTGGCCCACAATCACAGATCTTGAGACAAGGATCACATAACTGTGTTGGTGTAGAGCTTCAATTCAGTCATCACTCATGGGTGCTTTTGACACCTTCAGCTGACGTGCAGTGTGCTGTATCTGCAGTTGACATTTTGCTTTTGTGTATTGTGTGTTGCAGAAAGCCATCGCCCCGGCCAGCTGTCTTGTCCTGCTGAACGAACATCCTCTATTAAAATATTCCACTTCTCGCTCTGTTGCCAAGCACCCAGTGGGTGAGTCTCTCAAGTCCTGCCAAATCGCTCTGGGGACAGTTTTTGAGGTGTTCCCAAGTCAAACAAACAAATAATAATAAAAAAGAAGCATACTGAGATGGTTAGAGAAAAGTCATGCGTGTTTCTTTTGATTGTGTGATTGCAGGTCTGGAGGTGGGCCCTCAGCCTCAGGGAGTTTTGAGGAGTAACATCTTTGAAGCGATGAGGATAATACTGAAACATGCCCTGGATTTCATCGAGCTCTTTAATGAAGGTAGGAAGAAATACCATAGCAGCTTAAACTTTACATCATCCCGCAGTTATGTAATACTCAATGACACAGGAGGTCATGAGGTTCTAAAGCCTCTAAAAACCCAGATCCACAGTAGCCTAATAACAATATAATCAGAAGTCTTATGTGCATAGATGCTGCATCATAAGAGTTAAGACTGTTAATCCTAATTCAAAATATTACTAATAAATCTTATATGCCTTGCATTTGTATTGATTGTTAGATGCATCCCATGATCCAATTTATACAACAAGTTTTACAGCAGTTATTTAGAGGCTAACACACAACTTTAGCCTCATCTATTTGCCAACTTTGACAGCCAACGATGTTGACAGTTGGATGTCAGAGTTATATTATTACATCACATTAGCCTCTAGCCACATTAGCCTCCCCAGCCTCGGTCCCCTGCTGAATGTTTTGCCATGTTCTCGACTCCCCACACGTCTTGTCTCTCTTCGGCTTTCTTACCTGTCACACTGCAAAAATGACCCGTGAAAGAAAAATAACACTCATCTAATATTGTGAGTGCAGGGCCACGGCTTCCCACTGTGATACTGAATCAAAAAACTCAAAGATATAAAGTTGTACCAACCTGGTTGTCACATGCACCTTCATTGTGTGCAGAACCAGAAAGAAGTCAATCGATTTTTATAACTTCCATAATCAAATGAGACCACTGACAGCATGAACAATCTTATCTATGTCATATATCTGAATGGCAATAACTGCAGCTGCAGGGTAAGTGTCAGAAAAAGTGTGTCCCGGAAAGGTGCTGAAACAGCCTTTGCTGACTTTTTTCCATGGCAAATGTTCACTGAGCGGCAGGTTTGACTGTTAAAAAGCACAAAGAGTTTTTTTATCATGGAAACACTAGGTAAAAATGTGCCTTTCTTTACAAGGGGTTTCAAGAAGTTATCCACACCTAAAGCTACTTCCGCAAGCTTCAATCTCAGGATTTTAAAATTCTCAGCTTGTCTGTTTTTGTTTGTTTTCATGTCTGCATTTGTACAGCTACAAACCAAGATGCTTTAAAGGCCAAGGCAGTAAGAAATATTGATCGATTAATGACTTTAACAGTTTCCTAGAAAAATATGAAACTATATTTGAAGAATTTTTGCACTGAATGAGTAGTGGTATGATTCATGATGTGTTATGTAATAGAAAAATAAGTTGTTTAGTCTTCCTGTTTATCAGCTGCTCCGCTGCTTGACAGGAAACATTTTGTGACAAAACGCCCATGGGCGTCCATCTGATTCATTCAGATGTACCTACTCCTCTAAAATTATCTGCATCTGGCTTAGTCCACCTCCGCTCTGCCCATTTTCTACCCCAAAAAACAGAAGCATGGATGGAAAGTTTGGGTGCTGGACACTGTTCCTCCTCTTTTTACGTAAACCAGCACTCTGAGCCAGCAGTGAGGAGCTGTCAGCTGGTTTCCCCTGTCGGCTCTGCTGCTGAATGAGTTACTTGTTGGGAGTTGGTTAGTTTCCATGTTGTCAGAGTCCGGCTGCCAGCGGTGTGGTAATCTTCTGTCGTGGGGCCACCATGGTGTGGATGAATGCTCGGGCATAGTGATGAATCGGTGTTCCTGTGCTTTGAGGCAAAGCAGCAGGAAGAAACAACTTGTTCAGCCACCAGAGAGTGAACAGTTGGTTGGGTTCAAAATGACTTACTCTGGAGAAGAACAAAAGATTCAGTGAGAAAACTTTAGCGGTTGCTCTGTGGTGGGCACTAGTTCTTATTCTCAGTGCTCCCTCTTGCATATTAATAAAGCTCAGTGGTTTTACACTTTGGTGATGCAACAGTTCATTTGTGCATCTACTTCTTTATGTCTGCTCGGTCAAAATCCTGCATTGTGTTCAGTTCAAGGGACTGAATAAAGCCGATTTAACATGCTGTGGCACCCTCTAGTTTGACCAAAGGTAACTATGTTATGTAACAGTACGTGACGTGAATTCAACTGTATAACAGTGTAGACCCCCGACAAGCGTACAGTTTGCCAAGAGACACACCGTCAACCTCTGCTGCTTCACTTTGTCTTAGACTGAGGAGTCTTTTCATTAAAACCTCCAAGGCTTATTTACCTCATAGTACACCTCTGTTTGCCTTAAATGACCATTAGGATTTTGCCACCAGGTATCCCAGAATGCTTTGTGCGTGGAAGCATACGGTTGCAGTGCACAATGACTGGAAGCCAAAATTTTAGACATGACTTAAAGTGCAGTGGGTCCACGGCACGCTGTTAGAAGCAACTCTTCAGACTCCTAAGTCTCCAGACCTGAGTCACAAATATGGCCTTTCAAGTATAAGTTAAAATGTATGAACAACCAGAAGTAGTAGTTTAAATATGAAGTTACCTAAAGCTCCTGTGAGTAATTTTCTGCTTGTGTTTATTACAGTGCCCCCAGTGGACAGAGTGATACCTCTCACATCTTTGCAGATCTTGCCCTGCACATAAAAACCTTTACTTTCTGCTGTGTTGTATCGTGTTGTGCTTAATAGTAGAATGAATCTTTGAAGCAGTTTCTTTATCATTTCAAAACCCTGTTAATGATTGTCTTTATCAATTCAAAGCCCTATTTATGATTGTCTTTAAAATTCAATCTTTTTCATAAACAGCTAAAATCTCTTTGCAGTTTAAAGCTCCCGTAAGGCGCTTTCTATCTGTGTTGATTTTGGCGCCCCCTGTGGACAAAACTGAAACCCTTTTATCATTACTTATATCATCTGCTCCTTGAGCAAAACGTCTTCTCCTGTGTTTTTTTTACGGTTAAATTTATTACTCACTGTGAACATTTGCTGTGGGCTGTGTGTAAGTTACAAAAGCTGTTCCTCTCTCCTCACAGCAGTTATAGGCATTAAAAATTATATATTAAACTTTGTCAGTCTTGTTGTTGATGGTTTCATTTGCTTTTGTGCCTCATACAGTAAAACCAGTTCGTACCTCAAACTGTGAAAAGTTCAACTTACTCTTAAAAAATAAAGATATCAAATAATTAAAGAAAAATGAATTTTTGTCATGATCAGGTCCATCCTCAGCCATTCTCTGAGTGACATCTTTCCTACACAAACTACAATGTTGGAACATAATATCTAGCTCTGTAAATGGTACTTGTTATGCTCTTGAGAATTAGCATGTAAGCAAAGTCAGTGAGCGTGTAAACCTGCTCACAGAGCCATTAGCTAAGCCTCACTGAGCTTCAAGCTTATTTAGAATAACTGAAAGAACTGACTGTACCATGACTCTGAGTCTGACTGACCTCCGCATTGTGCATTACACAAGACTTCACAATTATCATTTGTTGAATGATCTTTACATGAACTGTTTAATTCCCTCTGTGGAGCAGTCAGGGTAGTAATGAGAAATACTCTGAGCAAACAAAAAATAACAAATTCAAGGATGTTCATTGCTGATTTTTTGCACTTGTGTCTGCAAAGGTGTAAAAATGCACATGTGCAACAAATGACTGAGTGAGCTAAGTGAAAGAGAAGTCAACCAAAGTGAAGAAAACTAAATAAAGCAACCACAAATTACAATACAGTCAGGGCTTTCCCAAGATAAAATGCTTACAAAGCTTATTCTGCTAATATTTTCATACTCTGTTACTGACTTGGCATGTTCTTTCGGTAAATGACGGGTTTAAAGGGTATAAAGGTCCTATTTTAAATCACACTATTTACAGTCTGCTCTGCCCACCCATGATCATCTATTTTTAAATCTGGTAAAAAATCATTAGCAGAGGTTTATTTTGAGCTGAATCATTTTGGCCATGCAGTGGGTTCATTGCAGCATGCTCAATGACAGATTGCTCTCCTGGCTATTCTAATGTCATTCTTGAATTCTTGCAGGTTTTATATGTTTGTTTGTGTTTTTTTATACACATTTCCGTTTCTCTTTCATTTTTTCATTTCTCTCTTTACTGTGTTTTTGAAATAATTGAGTTCTTTTACACATTTATTTTTTACAAGAGTTGCCAGGCTGCTTACTTATTGGTAATGATTTGTGTGTGTTGCACAGGTATGGAGTTCCCTCCTTGCACAGTGGAAGTTTTCAGGGTCTCAGAGCGAGTTGACTACCCCCGAGACGCCAATGGAAACATCATTGCCATGGTGCATCCCAATCTGCAGGTAGAAAATCCTTCATCCTCCAGCCTGTATATATTTTCCGCCCTCATGAGATAACACAAGAGAGGAAATGAGGCTTCTTGGGTCAACATGAGAAAATGTTATTTGAGTTTAGTCAACATACTCAGGTTACTCTCTCTGTTTCTTTCTTTGTTGTTGTTCCAGGACTGCGACTGGGAACCACTGAACCCTGGTGACCCTATGTTCCAGACATTTGATGGAAAGACCATCCACTACCAGGGCCCGGGCACTGTTTATCCCACTTTTATCAATGAGGCAGCTTATTATGAAAAACAGCAGGCATTTGTAACCACCAGGAGAGAAACTCTGTTAGCGAGTGCCATCAGGAAGCATGAAAACTGAATTGTGAGGCTAAGAGGGATCATGATGATACAGGTTTTTAGCCTCATGAAGAATCTGTGTATAGGTTTTGCACTTTGTTCTGATAGAAAATGACAGACTTTTCTTCACATGATGACTAGACACCATCTTTTACACACTGATTTAATTTTCTACGCCTTTCCTATCAGAAAATGTATTAACTATGCAAAGAATCACTGTGAAAGTCTTTATCTGAAGACTTGTATATTGCTGTGGAAAATATTTATGATATTGCTGTTATTTTAAAAGTAAATTTACTTCAAATCCTTTAAGTTTTGCTGCAAAATGAGCAAGCCGAGTTATTAATGGCATGTAAAAAAAAACGATAAATATTCCTACTACTTCTCAGGACAGCCGTTGAAGATCATAACCTGCAACTTTTGGACCCCAAACTGTACTTGTTTGTCTTCTTCTTTTCAACTTTTCTTTGTAACATCTTTGGGAAGGTGTTTGTGGCCTTTTTGATTCCACCTACCTGTAACTCCTGTGGTTGCATCTGTGGTGCTGTCCTATTGTTGCCTTACTTGAGATATCAGAGAAAATTGCACACCTAATTTGGAGTGAAATTTGTAGATTATGTGTGTCTGATTATAAGATATTTTTTTTGATAAAAAATGTGAAATGTCTTTGTCCTTTAAACACATGGGATACAGTGTAAAACATGTTTTATAATAATGATAATATATCTGTGTCTATTTTGATATACTTGTACTGTATGTTTGGTTTTTAAGTGATGTATAGAACGTGTTGAATCATGGGAAAAAGATGTTCTTTCTAATATTTTTATGTCTTTGTCATCTCAGAGTGTTCTCGCTGTGGTGTTAGTCTCTCGTTTTTCATTCAACCATATTTTGGTAGCACCATTTGTATCATTAGAGCTATGTACTGTCCTGTTGAAATAAACCAGTCAATAAATCTGAAACTGTGCTGGGCTGTGCTTTCTAATTGTCTGAGACTTGGCAAATTTGTCCAGTCAGGTAGGTTGCTCCTGCGGCCACTAGAGGGCGTTATATGACCACACATTGAAGTCCACTGCATGATGCACTGTCATGTTGAATAGAAGTGCAGACCTGTAGCACAAATGTTTTTCTAATGTCTATAAAGACAGCTTTATTGCTTTTAAAACTAAATTACAGACAGAGATCAAACACATTTTTTGTGACTTTCTCTGCTGAAGTCATTCTGGGAGGGGATTCATTTAGGAACAAAAGCCATTCTAGGTGTTAAATTACCACAAAATCCACTGCCTCACAATGATGATACAATCCCTGAAGGGGCTATGGTAGGAAAATAAAAGTTTAGTTGTTCCATACTCTTTTACTGGTTGCAAAGAAAATGATAACACAATCCCGGATTGAATCATTACCACCCACCCATCATCAGTGACAAGAGAGTTTACTTCAAGTTTAATCGCATATCTTCACAGAAAGATGGACTTGTTCTTTACTTTTTGGGCCCCTGTCACTATTTACCTTAAACTACCAACAGGATGGAGGTGATTTAAGTTCCTTCTACTTGTGTTTTACACAGTTTCTTCTTATGTGTGTAAACTGGTGAGTGTATACATGTAAGTAGGTGAGTGTGCGTGTAGATGTGTTTCATGTGGGTAGACTTTTACATGTCTCATTTATTTTTCTTACCTTATTTTACATTTGACAGACTGCCACACCCCTGTACTTGGTTTCAATTATATATTGTTTTGTGCAATGTTGCATAGTACAACACCAAATGAGTCAATAAAAATACAATGATAACTGGTTAAAAAAAGTACAGATACCTAAGTGTAGAGGATATAAAAATCTTGGAAATCAGGTGAAGGTGAAAAGTCTCGAATCCCTTAAGAGATACTCCCGGATAAGATTCGTCAACAAAGCAACAGGTGTTAAATTTTCTTGAAAAACTGATTCCTACAGCGTCTGTTTACTCTCTCCACCCTGTAGCTATAGACTTTTTAGCTTGTAAGAAACTAAATCTGTTAAACTTCAATCAATCTGTCTTGAATAAACACTCAAAATGAACAACTTCAGCAAACAAGACCTAAAGTTTGGATTTATCTAACCAGCAAAGAGCCTCCTCTTATGAACTTTGGACCACATCCCACAAGGGATAAAAAGAACTTCTATAGTATTTATAAATCTGAGGAATGTTTTTCAACTTTGGGATTTAACTGCTCTGCACTGGTCTGGTATGTGTGTTTAAGTTTGATCTTTAGGCAGACCTTTCTTTTTCTGAGATACCCTCATTCATATCTTACCTCTATTTTTTAAACTTAAATATGGTTGTACATTGTTTAGTTTTTAAGTGATAAAAAATGTGGATGATTTACCTCTTGGAGAAGCCATGTGGGAGTAGATTGTAGTACATTAGGGATGCTCTGGGAGTCAGTCTTGACATCTTTACAGTGTGTTTTTATTCATCAGACATTAATATGAGAGTAGAATTTCATGACCAAACCTCAGTCTAATTTGTGTCAGTTTTAACAAAGCCCTGTTTTGTCTTCAGTGCAGAAGAGCAAACCACTAATTTCCGTTATAACAACAAACACTGTAAACACTGTGTCCTCTTGCTGGCATCTTCTGCACTAACTGTATACATTAAGTTTTAGATAACATCCTTGGAGTTTATGAGAGATGCACAGATGTAGTTGCAGTGAGTCATCTTGCTCAACCTGTATATAATGCTACACCTGCAGAATAACTGTGGTTGTTTCCCCCCTTATCTGCTGCATGAATTCCACTGAGCAAGTAATTGTCTAAGGCATGCATCTGGAAGTGTACACACGAAGTAGGTCAAGAGGTGTGGCAGTGTATACGTTATGAAAGATATCGCAACCATGTAGAGCATTAAAATGGTGCATTTGTTCACCTTTATGAATGCTGCAAATGTTTGTTTGGATCAAAATAATCAGTAATTTGTTGTTTAATGAGCTGAAGAACTTACGGGATGATTGAAAGTCTGCCATTTATCATGTATCGCTATCTGCTGTCTTAGTCACTAACAAACCCAATGTTGATAGTCTGGTTTGTGGAAACAAAACGATTCTATCCATAAAATATGAGAGGTATGACTTTCTTTCTCTGCAGCTCTCAGTTCTTCTGCATTCCACCGACCAACTTCTGAACTCTTAAAGATACACCAAAGAGTTCACATATTCTTTGCCTAAGATGAGTAATTCAGTTTGATGACTTCAGCCTGGTTGTAGCCTCTCTCTTCTATTCATTACAGTAACCCAATCAGGGCTCTCAGTGCTGATCAATGATTCCCCCCTGCTACAGAAAGCTTTTAGGGGAATAATCTTTCAGTTCTGGGCAGGGACCCAGACAGGCACTCCAAAATACCCAGCATCCATCTTTACCTCCACCCTGCCCTACTATGACAACATACCTTCTGCTTGTATAGCATCACTTCTCCGTTTTACTGGAACTCTGCTGATGGCTGCTTGCCAAGTTTTTACTCAGATACATCCTGTTAAGTGTGAGGTGATTAGGTTTTATGTTTCCTCCTCTGTGCTGTTATCAATCATGAAAATCATCATGATAAAAAGCTTTCAAGGTAAGAAAAAAGGTTCCCATTTAGCATAATGAAAGAATGTTAAGGCTTTAAATGTGAAGTGTCTGTCTGCCATGCTACAAATCAAGTGGGTGGAAAAAACCCCCAGCAAGTTTCACATTTCTTAACATAGATTCTGCAGTGACAAAATAACAGCAATCAAAAAACCTAAGGGGCTAAGGATGTGTTTATCTGGTATATGAAAGGGTCAAGGGGTCATCACAAAAAGCAAGAGCTACAGTCTGTATTCATCTGTCCCAGAGGTGCAGCTTCGTTGTTGCTTAACAAAGCTCACGTCTCAAACGCTCCTTCTTCAAAGGTAAATGGTGCGTTTATAAAACGTCGTAATTCTCAGAACTTTTAAACATACAAGGAAATAATCTGTAATCTTCATGTCATGTAAGATGCTTCATAGGAAGACTGAAATAGTGAGCACATTTGGTGGTTAAACTAGTTATTTTTATTCAACTCAGTGTTTTCTCCCATGTTGATATTGAGAACGAAAGCTAAACAACGGCCATTTGAGGTGTTCTCTGTTTTGCCCCTTTTAAAATGTATTTTGCTGGCAAATGTCTTTTAACAGATTTTGTTTTACCTTATATTTAACTTTACCACTGCAGCTTATTTCCTAAATGTTAAAGCTGCAGAGGTAATGCAACATGCACATTTTCTTTTAATTCAATCAATCAAACAAATTTTAATTTATATATCACCAATTCACAACAGTCATCACCCCAAGATGATTTCCAAAGAAAAAGAGCAGGTCTAGACCACGCTCATTGTTTGAGGAATCATAAAGACCCAACCATAAGATGGAACAGATTTATCCCATCTCAACTGACATGAGTGACAGTGGCAAGGAAAAACTTCTTTAACAGGCAGAAACCTTGGGAAGGACCAGACTCACAGCCACCAAGCTGCTGCTGAGTTGGGGAGGAATACAAAGAGACAGGGGGAAAGAGAGAGATAGGAGTAGGCTGTGCAGTTATAATTTCAAATTTGGACTACCCAATTTGTTTCAATGTCCTTTTAAAATCACTCTCTTGAGATTTGAGTCATATTTGGGGTCCATTTTTTTGTGTTCCCTAGTATGATTTTTCTTGTTTGGAATTTTTTTCTTTTTATTTCAGAAACCTTATAAACCACTATTTTAAAATGTGTTATGTTAAAAAGTTATGATAAAAGAATTATACACAGAAGTTTAACACCCATATGGGCCTTTTCAAATCCTGATTGGATATGTATTTATTTATATTGGCTTTTAATACCTGGTAGTGTGGTGACACTTTATTTTTATTGCATTGTATCTCATTCTTTTTTTTTACTGCTTTATTATTTATTCATTTTTATTTTCTATGTATTGTAAAGCACCTTGGTTCATCGAAAGGGTCGCTCTAAAGGGCTGTATGAATAAAGAACATTTACATTTACAT